TCAGCAGCAGCCTCTTCCACAGTGCTCCACTCAGTCTTACTCCAACTCACCAATGTGGGGATTTATGATCTAAATTAATTGAAATTTTCTTTTTTGGTTACTTTTATAAGCTGTTAAAAAGAGCTGTTCATTCCAAGTTGCAAGTATCCTTGAAACCTCAGAGACTTTGAGCTTCCTGGGGTGGGGTGGGTGAGGTAGGAGAGGGAATTGCTGTGCATGTGTGTGACTTTGGACCGAGGTGGAGTTTTTCATCAGGACCACAATCAGCTCTGTTCACCATCCGCTCCCCAAATAACCACTCAGAGATTATCTGTTAATTATAAATGCTTACCCAGTAGCTCAGGCTTATTGATAACTAGCTCTTACTTCTTAAATTAACTCACATTTCCTATTTACGCTCTGCCACATGGCAATACCTTTGTTAGCATAGCGTGTTCATCTACAGCTCCCCTGTGTCTGGCTGGCGACTCCTCTGACTCCGCCCTCCTCCTTCCCAGTGTCCTTAGTTTGGTTGTCCCACCTACGCTGTCTGCCTGGCTGCCTGCCAATCAGCTCTTTTATTAAACCAATCAGAAGGTGCCTTGGCAAAGACACATCTTAACAGTGTACAAAAAGATTATTTCATAGCATTTTCCCCTTTTTGTCTAATTAAAAAAGGTTTTAACTTTAACATAGTAACACTGTGGAAGAGAGGAACAGTTGTGCTTGTATGGTGCTGGACATGTGTATATTTTATAGAGAGCCCTAGTGTCATATATTTCATAGAGTGACATGGATGTGTGTGAAATCAAATAGGGTGTTCAGTGGCCATCCAGAGTCTGTAACTATTATGAAATCCTCTTCCCTAAAAGACCTGCAGGTTTTGAGTTTCCTCATTTTCTGAGAGGAGAGAGGGACTGAGCAGGTAGGAAAGACCGCTGGCACTGAGGACACCAACCAGGCACTGAGTCTCAACGGCTGTAGTTTGTATCTCCTAGCAAGGCTGGAAAAGGCGCATGGTCAATTCCCTTAGCAATTTTAAAGTTGTCGAGCAGTGGTGGCACACACTTTTAATTCCCAGCACTCAGGAGGCAGAGACATGTGGATTTCTGAGTTCAAGGCCAGCCTGGTCTACAGTGCAAGTTCCAGGACAGCCAGGGCTACCCAGAGAAACCCTGTTGCGAAAAACAGACAATTTAAAGACTCCTATAGTTACCGAAATGCAGAATGACCGATAGATAAACAACCTTCTGAAGTTACTCATGGCACTTGTGGATTCAGCCTGAGACTTGCCAGACCTGGAGATCCATGTGCAAGGGGGAGCTATGCAGTACTTTTCAGACTGCATGGCACTAAGTGTTGGACTCATTGCCAAAGTAGCATTCCAAACAACTTCTGCACAAGAACTGAACTGCAGAAGGCTTGAGGCTAAGTGCACACCACTTGAAACATCCTTCCTGTACGGTTGTCTGTCACTTCCCAACTGTCTGCAGCCAACCATAGGACTATACAGTAAGACAACTGCTTGGAAAGTCAAGAGTGTCACAACTTTTACCTGTTTGAAGCAAAAACCTAGGTAGAATTATAAACATCTGTCATTGAATTGTTAATCTTTCTTTGTCACTATTTATCAGCCTCTCTAAATTAAGCCCTGGGGCTTTTCTGACTGTCTCTGCATCTGAACTCATAGCATCAATTTATGTTTTATGACAATTTTGAAGCTTGTGAAATGAACTTTAGTCATATGATAAAAAGTTAACAATGAATGGAGTCCCTTAGTGGAAGCAAAGGAAAGAATAGCACAGCTTGCTCCTTAGGGATTGTGTTTGGGGTCTTTGGAAGTCATATCCGTGAAAGGAATAACATCAGGTATCTTTTCATAAGTAGATGCAATTTTATAGATTCAGGTATGAACCAGACAGCGTTTGTAGACTATTGTGCTATTCCTGATTCCAAGGTCATGATTTGTACAGCTAAAAACTTGGCAGATATCTTTAGACATGAAAGTTAGTGTTACTTTAGTTTACTAGTGGTAGCGTGGCTGTGATAGCTCCATCAGGTTTGGTAGCTGTCTTTGAAGTGCTGTCATGGCACCCTTTTGCCTCAGGACAGCCATGCTGGGTTGCCATTAAAGGTCACAGGGCAGCTGCACCTTAAGGATTCCCAGTTTGTGTTTGAGGCAATAGTTTAGTTGGTAAAGTGCTTGCTGTGCTAATAGGAGGACCTGAGTTTGATCCCCAGCATCCATGTGGTACATGGCGGTACATACTTGTAATCCTAGTCCTGGGGTGATGGAGACACACGGGTCCCTGAGGCCCATTGGCTGGCCAGCCTAGTCTATTCAGTGATCCCAGGTCCCAGTGAGAGACCTTGTCTCAAAAAACAAGATAGACACCTGCACACACACCACACACATGACTTTTGACTCTTGTACAAGGTTTTAAGGGGCTAAGTTATTTACTTTTAATGAACAGGGAACAGGATTTCATGGTTTTTAGCTATTAGATTCAAGACTTTAAAAGCTCATAAAGAGCATGTGATGCATCAAGTTACTTTTTAAAGCCAATCTTCTGATAAGAATAAATGAACTCCATATAAAGGTTGAATTTCCTTTGAAAGCTATATACTGGCGCAACACACTCTGCAAAGTTCCCAGTGAAAATTGTATCTTACTCAACTATGGAATTCTTTGAGAGGGGAAAGAAGAAAAAGAAAGACTATACTGAGCAGAACTCAGTGGAGCAAATGAGGAGGACTTGAGATGGTCAGGGTTCCTGGGATGTCAGGCTAGCACGTGCATCCTATGGACTTTGTGGATTCAGTTGGGAGTTGCCCCATTTCTGTCCTGCACAGAGTTGGTGCTGCTAGGAAACTACTAACCACAGTGACTACCATTTCACCCACTCAGTATCATCACGTCCTTTAGTGGACTTTGCTCTGTGTTGAAACAGTTACAAGGTGTAGCCTGGCACAAAGAGATACTGTTTCAGCTGACATTGCCCAGAAGCCTATCCTGATGTGGTCAAAAGAGTTAGCATGTGGAGTGGTTGCCAGTGGTGGGCCATATCTATGGTACTAAAACCCTGCGTCTCCCTCTAGGAATTTAACTCATGATGCAAGAACACGTTATTTAATTGGAGAATGAATTGAAAATTTTGGCTTATAGGGACAGACAGATCATTCAGTTGACTTTGTTAAACTTGGACTGGAGATAGCCAAGAACACTGTACTGTGTAAGAGCAGTAAGTGCTCTTAACCATTAGGTCACCTGCCCCTGAGAAAGAAATGTAGTATGTGAGTAATTACACATGGGCGTGTGACTGGGGCTCAGACTGTGTGTATGATGGTGAAACAAGAGAGTGATCTTCCTGCCTGTCAGTGTATATGCTTAGTACTAGGCACACATGTAAAGGGACATGACAACTATATGTGGCACATTGGTGCTTAAAACCCAAGGCCAAATTTCTTACTTACGATTATGTGTGAAAGGAAAACACACAGATGAGGGTCTGATGGCATATGCTCAGACTTTTGATTTTATCAGTTTAGAGTTTTGTGTGACATCTGTTTCTTCAGCATACTCTGTGTGTAGGGAGTCGCTCCAGTATAAAGAATCAAGCTCTGAGAAAAACAGAAAAGGGTGTGTGTATCTCAGAAGGCTTGCATGCCTGTGAAGACCCAGCCCTTTCCAGTACAGTGCAGCTGTGTAGGAACTCCCGAGAAAGAGTAAGAACTAGGAGAGGGTTCTTGCAGCTATGCTCACTTGGGTGCTCTCTGCCGAAGGACATATCCTATAGCATTCCCTGCCTAACGCTGAAGCCATTGGCTCAGCAGAGCTGGTGAGCTCCCAGGACACTGCTAGGGTCCCCAGTCTCTAGTTTTTCTTCGCCTTAACTTGTTTAAACCGCTGTACACACAGATGGTACAGTGATAGGCAGTGGTCAGAGAACTGCCACAAAGCATCATTTGAGACTCCTGTGACTCAAGGCAGCTAGCGATAAGTCACAGGATGTTGAACAACATGCTCTTAATTGGAAGGCAGAGCAGGAGACTTGGGGGGAGTCCCTGCAGATGCCATGGCCAGCAGAGTAGTGATCCAAATAAGACAAGAAGGAAATGTGGTTCAACATGACTTAATTAGCTGGAGTTGGCTCAAACTTCTAGGGTGTGACACTGGACAGTTTATTTTTCAGGAATTAAATGCAGAACCATTTTGGAAAAAGGCTTTCTGGTAACAGATATCTCAGTCCCATAGAGGAAGACCGGGTGTGGTCTTGGTCATATAGATAAAGTAGAGGTCACTAAACTACAAAGTACATATGACATGTCTCTTAAGCATGGGTTCTACTGACTGAGAAGCTTAAGGTAAAGGTTTAGGGAGCGACTGTGGGAGATTCAGGTTAGGCCTGCTCTACAGATAGCAAAGGTCATGGGGTTATTAACTACATCTATTCTGCTCCCAGCCTTCTGGGCGGAAAGCAGGCACACGTCCTTTCTGTTGAAGAGACATCCCTGCGTATTTGGCATTAGTGATCTCCCTAGTGCTTATCTGTGGGTACAAGGACCTTGTGCCCTCTACAGGAGACCATTTGGGCAGTAATGTGATGTTGAAAGGGCTGCTGAGCTGTCTCCCATTGATAAGCAGTGGAGTGAGACAGAGGTAGTCAGGAGACTGACTGCTCCTGTGTGGCTGGAGGTGGTGGTGGTCTGAGCCAGGGGTAGTGATGGAGGTGGTAAGCAGCTAGGGAGTTGACAGCACTGACTCCCGGATCAGGCAGGACCAGTGTCTGCATAGTGGATCTGTGAAAGGGCGTGGGGAGTTGTTTGGGCCTTGGTTTGTCAGATGTGTCTGCAGACGTGGGAATGGCGGTGACTGTAGAAGTCCTGGCACACGGTGCTAGAGAAGACCTCTGTTAGGCCAGCATGGCCTGTCACTGTCCTTGGCAGCAGAAGACTTTCTGTGTTCAGGTACACGTGGATTTCTGATCTGGGCCGTCACGTTTTACTCTTTTCTCCAATAGGATGGCTCCGGAGCGTATGATGTCCCTGTCACAAGTTTGTGTCCCTCTTGTTACTCTGCCTGATTTTGAACCCCTGGTGGAGGCTCTACTTACCTACCATGGACGTGAACCTCAGGAAGTCCTCTCGCCTGAGTTCTTCGAAGCTGTAAATGAGGCCGTCTTGTCGTGAGTCCATCTATCTTATCACTCAGTTTGTTTTTCCTAGCTGTAGAATGTTGTGGTATGGGAAAAAATATGACAGTGTATTTAATGGTCTCAGTTTCCCTTTTTATATTTATTTATTAATTGATTATTAGCTTATGGAAGTTGGTCTTCTTGTTGCTCCATCTGGGTACCAATGATTGAACTTGGGCTAGGCATCAGGCTTGACAGCAAGCATCTTTATGCTTATAGTCCCTCACCCCAGCCATCCCAGTTCCCTTTAGTGCTCTTGAAGATCCCAAAGAGTTCTGTGCTTTCCAATATTTGCCCCATATGAAACCACACCCAGAAATTTATGAAATGCTTATTGAGCTGGGGCAGAATACTTGCCCAGCACAAGGCACAGGTTTGGTCCCCAGTCCTTCAAAGGGAAGGGAAGGAGGGAGGAGGAAGGGAGAAAGAATATTACTTCATAAGAAAGTTGCATCATTTGAAAGCAGTAATAAAGGACTGCGAAGATGGTTTAGCAGGTAGGAACGCTCGCCGGGCAAGCGCAACTTCAGGTCCTTATCAACACATAAAAGCTGTACATGGTTGGACATACCCATAACCCAAGCATTGGCGTGTGTTATGAAAAAGGTGGATCCCCGCGGCTTGTTTGTCAACCACTCTCAAAAGGGGAGATCCAGGTTAAATTAACGACCCTATCTCAAGGGAATAAGATGGAGAGTGATGGAGCAGGTTACCTACTGTCCTCCTTTGACTTCTGCTCATGTGCATAGGAGTTCATGCATCATCATTTTCATAATACTCACAATATAGTAATAATGGAGGTAATAGTAATCATAAACAATAACATTAGTAACAATAAACAGCGAGCTTCTGTAAGACAGAGATAACCTGTTAGACGGTAGCACTATTTTTGTGTCTGAGGCGTCTCTTTGCCTGGCATTGGAAAGCTATGTTCGGTCTGTGGGATACAGTGCTTTGGTGCCTGTCCCCACACAGCTGCATAATTAGAGACGCAGTTCTATCACATTGGCCACTGGAGATGGAGTGGATAGTTTTCTTTAATCTAAATTTGAAACGGTCATGTTTTTAAAAGTTAGTAGCAGTGTGGGATCTGAGCTTATACTAATGAGACTTTTATACTCTGTTACATTAAAGTCCATTGACCGGGCCTGGGGTGGTGGCTCACCTGGCAGAGTGCTTGCCATGCAAGCATGAGTGCTTGAGTTCAGATCCCCAAGACCCAAGTAGAAAAGCCCCATCGTGGTGTCACATACCTGTGACCCTAGTGAAACGCACTCGGAGACAGGAGGGTCCCTGGGGCGACCTAACAGGGTCAGAAGTTCCAGGCTAAGTTGGTGATTACAGAAGATACCTAGTGTCTAGCCTCTACATGTGCACATGCATCATATACATGCATGTACACACATGCACACAGTCATGCGTTGTTTATGATTTATTAAAGCCACTGGAGATCAAAACAGCAAAGCAGCCCCTCTAGTTAGCTATAGAAGCTGGGCGGCGGTGGCATACACCTTTACTCCCAGGACCCAGGATTAAGAGGTAGATGGATCTCTCTGAGTTCAAGGACACACTGACTACATCAAATGAATCCAGTCTTAAAAGAAACAGCTCACACAAGGTGATCTCAGCACCCGGGATCACACTCCTTTAATCCCAGCACTAGGGAGGTAGAGACAGGAATGATGAGGCTGGGTGGAAAAAGGAATAAAAGGAGGAGGAGACAGGATCTGAGAGCCCTTTGCCTCTGAGGATTCCTGGAGACAGGATTGCCATTTCAGCTGGCTAGAGGTAAGATCTGCTGGCTGGGCTGCTTTGCTTCTCTGATTGTCAGCTTGAAGCCTGAACCCCAATATCAGTCTCTGGGTCTTTATTTTTCATGTTACCGTCAGAAGCCTGTTTTGTAGTTCAGGTCTTGCACCTCCGTATGGCTTTGTAGTGTGATGTGTGGCTCGTTTGGAAAATCTCCACCCTTATCTCATGTTCCTAATGTTGGTATGTTCCATTATACAGTGAAAACTTACAGTTGCTGTGCTCACTGTCATCCTTGATGACATGCCACAAAGTGTTGAAAAGCTGTCAGAAGTTTTCCACAGTTGTAATTCCTGTTTAAAAGCTTAAATTTGGACTGGCAAGACAACTCAGTAGGTGAAAGCCTGACAGCCTGAGTGGGGCGGGGAGTCCACAGGGAGGACAGAACTGGCTTCCAGAGAGTTGTCTTCTTCCTCTCACACAGGTGCCAGGGCACGTGTGCGCAGCCACTACACGTGTACGTAGTGGTAATAATAAAGTCACCTACCTTAAGATGAAGAGTATGCCCAGGGATCCCGCTGTCTCTGCTTACCTTGCTGTGGGATTACAGGTGCATGCCTCTACAAAGGGCTTAAAATGAGCAAAATAAACAAAAGCCCTCAGTGCCTATCGTGGGCTACAAATTCTATCCTTTTTTTCCCTTAAAGGGGACCTGAAGGTGGGGTTTAAATGAGTCCACCAGACCCAAGATAAATGAGAAATAGGTGTTTATTAGGGAAGCACTTACACAGATAGGAGTAAATAATCGCCACGGTCTTCCTGCTCCAAAAGATGCAGTCTCTGCCCTTCCAATGCTCTCCACAACCTAAGAGCATGTGAGCCAGACCTTCCTCTACCTTATAATGGGTCATGTCTGCACCTGAAATCATGCTCAAAGGGTGGTTCACTGGCAAGGCAAGATGCCACTACAGGGAGCCTGGTCACTTTGTTAGTTGTTAAGAAGGTGTGTGCCATATACTTACATGAGTGACCATTGTTAATGGATTGTCATTCTTTCAAGTCGCTGCGTATGGAATGAAAGTGTCACGTGAGGCAAGGGCCCACACTTGCACAGGAGTGACTCTCTGCAAACAGAACAGGCTGGCGCTGACTGTCTCAAGTTCTCCTTTACCATGAAAAGTTTCTAAAACTCTTCTCAAGAGTGACAAGTAACAAAATCTGTATCTTATACAGTCCCATCAAGTGCTCCTATTGAACATGTGAACAAGACATGTCCCTGTGAAGGTGTGGGCAAGGGTGAGGGTGCAGAAACTGTCTCTGATCACCCAGGTACAAAGTGTGCCTGCTGTTGCTTTTGCACTATGGAGTGTAGTGGTTCAGGAACACCCATGAGACTCCAGCTACTCAGCACTTTGTATGTCTATGGCTAAGTTTCACAGGAAAGGTCTTAGTGTTTGGCTGATATTGCCAGTAGATGGACCAGGGTGCAGCACTTGCAGCCGGGTCCGGAAGGTCACATCCCAGGAGACACTAATGAGCTGTAGCATTTCCCTTTAAACCACTTGATTCATTCTTACCACTCTCAATGGCCGTCGGAAACCACTGGAAGTCACTCTCCGTGGATGCCACAGTGAACTCGCACTGTGACGGCATGTAAGCGCGGTGCTACAGAGGACACAGGGCAGCAAATGCCAGCCGCTGTGAAGTTGGGAGAAGACAGCTTTCCTCAGTCCTGCTCTCATTTGTGTACACATGCTCTGGAGTGGAGGCCGGTGCCTCATGAGTCAGCGCTCTGATAGGTTGGCTCCTTCTCTCCTGACAACACAGCTGGGGGACGAGAGCACAAATCTCCTAATCCCCCTTTAAAGTCAGGTGTGCATTCTTCAAATTTTTTTCTAGATAACACGGTATTTTATTATGTATTGGGTGTTGGTGACATTATTGGAGGATTTTATAAAAACAGGCATACACAAAAATATACAGATGAACACTTCTAGAATAATCTATCAAATTTCTGTGGGCACTGAGGTGCTGAACACACACTAATGATATTAAGTTGGCTCTAAGAAAAGAGTATATATTTGTAAGAAAATGTACTATACATTTCATTGTGTATGAAATGTGGTAAATTATAATATATGTGAATCATACATAAAAATATGTAACTATAAAATATATACTGCATCTTGGTAAAACATCTTCTATAAGATATATAATTATCCAGAATAATTCAGATAAAAATTTAGAAAACTTTCAAGAGTTTTTTAGATTTATTTTTCTTTTATATGTATGAATAATGTCTTGCCTGCATACATGTGTGTGTGTGTGCCAGCTGGATCCCCTGGAACTGAGGTTACAGGTGGTTGTGAGGCACCATGTAGGTGCTGGGAAGCAAACCTGAGTCCTTGGTAAGGGTTACACATGTGCTCTCAACCACTAAGCATCTCTCCAGCCCCCTTCAAGAGTTTAGAGACACATTATTGCAAACAAATGAAAGGAATATATACTTTTATTATATTTCCATGTAGGCACAAAGGAAAACATCGGAGTATTTAAAATACTTTTTTTTTTTTGGTTGTGAGCTTAGCCTTTAATGTCTGAGTATCTCTCCAGCCCTTAAAATACTATTTTTTATACTAATAATATTACAACATTTATATCAGGTATATCTAGACATGGCAAAAGCATAGTAGAAGAAAGAGAATGAGCTTTAAATGAATCTCTGAAAATATATACAAATGCCCTAAATGTTCTTACCTTTAAATTCTTTTTCAAATATAAAAATGCACAAACATGTTCCTTTGCATGTCAGAGAAGTGACGTCGTGTAGTCACTGTGCAGCTCCCCTATGCACTCGTGAGCGTGAGGACTGGAGGTGTAGCCCAGTGGTGGACCACTTGCCCAGCCCTGGTTCAGTGAGGGAGGAGGGATGAGGAGGGACCAGGGAAGTTAAAAGCTACCAGCATTATTATAAAAATGCTGTGAGCTCACAGGACCTTGAGTGAGTCCACATTGCCCTGCCCACAGGGTTGCTGTGGACTGTACAGGTAGTGTTTGGACCAGTGTTTCTTTCTCATGGAGGTTTCTAGATTCTACAAAGAACATTGATGTGATTTAAAAATATTTACTACTGTGTTCCTTTAATTTGTTAAAAGCACAGTGCTTTAAAAAACATTTTATTAGTATATTTCCCCCAATTCATTGTTATTTAAATGACTTTAGACAGAAAATGGGAATTGTTAGACATATAAGCATTTTTTTGTTTGCTTGTTTGTTTCAAAACAGACCTTTTAGGGCCGACAAGATGGCTTAGGGGGTAGGTAAGAGCACTTGGCAGCCAAGCCTGTTCACCCAAGTTCATTCTCAACTGAAGGAAAAGACAGAATCAACTCCTGCAAATTGTCCACCAGCATATCTGAAGTTGTTACCGGGACCTAAGTTCTCCTGTTTTGCAATTTCTGTCCCCCTCCCCCAGTTTGTTAGACTCAGAGTTCAAAGTTCCTTTGAACTTGGTTCATAAGTTCCTTTACGTTTCTTTCAAGCTGTAGGGTGGTTTTGCAAAGCTTTTGTTAAAATGGTAGGTTGCTTTGCGCCACTTTCAGGTTGCAGAACATTTGGCCCTCTCTGGCATGGTGAAGGATGCCAGCCCCCTCCCACCTGGATGTAGGTAGCCTGGGAGTTCTGTGAGCCCGTGCTCAGCCCCTGAATGCAGATGGGCCTGGCCTAACTTGGTGCTCTCTGTTCTGACCTATTATTGCATTCATGCCCTCCTAACTGTTTTTAGTAGTAAGATTCCAGAGTGTTCATAATAAAATAAGTCTATTTATTCTCATATTTCTTCCTTTGTGGTTTAATGTGTGTGTGTGTGTGTGTGTGTGTGTGTGTGTTTTGCTTGTTTTATCTTCCGTATAAGCTCTAAAAGTGATTTGGTCTCAGGAAAGACACCTTACGTTATCTGGGGAAGACCTCATCAAGTGTGTGGGTTGGCCTAGGAAGAACAGCATCTTTGTGTGTTACAGCTTCCTGTCCACCTGTCTGCCTGTTCAACTTCACTCTGTGACCTAGCAGCATTTGCTGTGTGACACTGTGTGTGCATTTGAGGCTTTTCTTACTCTCTGTTGATTGTCTTTGGTTTTTTCTTCCTCTCTGTTGATTGTCTTTGGTTTTTTTCTTACTCTTTGTTGATTGTCTTTGGTTTTAAATCCTTGGCTGTCATCAGTGGGTCTTCTCGTTCATCTCAGGTGTCCTGTTGTTGTTGCATTTGGGAAATGAAGAGTTCAAAAGAGAATGGAGTCCCTGGTAGAGTGTTTCCATTTTCCATATATAACTCTTAACATTTGTATACAGTACATACTTCATCTTCTGTGAAAGCTGACAGTCCAGAGAAGGCTAAGTTGTTTAATGTGTTCAAAAAAGGTTAAAACGAGACCTACGTATGGTAGCTCACACTTGTAATCCCAGCACTCAGAGACTGAGACAGGAGGATTGCCACAAATCAAAGCCAACCTGGGCTATACCAAGACTCTGTCTGGAAAAAAAAAGCCAACTAATCAAACAAAGTGAAACATCAAAGCATAATTTCATGGTTAAAGTCTGAAAAGCTGGGGCCTGGCGGAATGGAACAAGGGCTAGGAGCACACGAGTGAGAGAACTTGAGTGTAGTTGAGAGCATCCACGCTGGCAGCTCACAGCCGCCTGTAACTCCAGCTCCAGGGTGATGTGGTGTGATTGATGCCCTCTTCCGGCCTCTGTGGGCATCTGCACACACACAGCACACCCTCACGAACAGACAAACACATATCCATGCAAATAAACACGAAAAGTTGAGGTCATTTTTTTTCTGTCTTCTTCAATCCTTCTGCCAAAATTTACTCAGTATGCCTAAATTTTTGAGAAATCTGCCATTGCCTTTGTTATTCATGGACCTTGAGTGGTCATTATCTACAGCTTAGTCCTTGAGGTTCTAATGGTTTTCCCACCAACTCCCGCCTTTCACACAACACAACACAGTGGAAGCTCCATTTCTGATTGTAGGGATCTATCCTCGTTTTGTGTCCAGTCTCCCGGACCACCCCTTTTTTGGGGACAAGAGTTGGATTAAAGCAGACCACCTTTGGCATCTTTTGTAAACCCCAATAGCAATTTCAGAAATCACTGACCAGTAGGCGTGGTTTCCGGAGCCCAGGGTGAGGACCTGCCTGCCTTGCTCTTATTTCGCTTATGATAGAGCATTCTCCCTCAGCAACTAAAAAAGTTTATTTGGTTTGGAAGCTTAGGTCTACTAATCCACAAGGGACAGACTGTCCAGAAATGCTGGGTGGTCCTCAGAGTGTCCAATTCCAGCAGCTTCAGAACAGCAAGTTATCCCAGCAGCCGCATCAGCTGGAGACTTTCCATGGACGCTTTCCTGTGGAGAACCCGTCCGCCACATGTCCACAAAGGAGGCTGACTCAGTGAGCCATGCAGATTGATGCTCCACACCCTGCGCCCCTCCCAGCTGGAGCATTTCCCCACATGGCTTTGTGGCCTTCTAGAAACCACAGCTTTCTTTGACCAAAGTAGCCTCGCCTGTGTTCCGCTTCTCCACCACTCACCACAGCACATGGCGGAATTCCTGTGCTTTATAATTGGCTGGGCGTCTGTTGGCCTTGGCTTCCAAATACAGTCACGTATTTCCAGAAATGGGCAGTCTGTTTCCTCTAAACAGCTCACGCTGGTTCCCCTTTGTGGTTTAGATAACCTAGAGGAACCTTTTAATTTCTTGACTCAAATGTCGAACCTAACTTTTTATAAAATTCATCCCTGGGATGAATTTAGGCAAGCTGCAGATTGCCTAAAATCTTTCAGAGGTGGGAGGGCTGCTGAAGTTCCCTGGTTAGTCTGTGGGCTGTTAGTAATTGAGTGTGTCGTGTCCTCACAAGCACCGGGGGCCTGATGACGGCACGCAGAGCCTCCTTTCCCTGTGCTTGAAGCAGATGAAAGAGGAGATGTGTGCATGCATGGCTTCCATATTATGACAGAGTAAAGAATATATGTGTGGTCTCTGTCCAGGCTTATAAAACTTCTGGGGATTTCCAAGTAATAGGGTAAGGGAGTTGTCTTTTGGTACAATATGCCTTTTCCAACCACATGTGAGTTTAGGCTAAGGGGTGAGTCTGCTGGGGTTCAGGGCTAGCTTCAGGGTCAGGGCTAACAGCAGAGCCACCAGTCTTGTGACCACCAGGATTGGGCGTAATGACCAGGGGCTGGTGGTAACATCAGATCAACCACAGGGCTTGAAGAGCATACAGGTGAACACAAAGACATTGCCAGACTCTTGTGCCCAGACTCTGAGGGCAGAGAAACCCCAAGCCCATACCCCATATGTCTGTGGGTCTCTTCTGTCCAACCATTCCTGGTTGTTTCTTTTATAATGAATCGCTGATGGTTGTAAGTAGAGCATTGTTGTAAATTCTGAGCTGCTTTACTAAATTGTTACACCCAAAGAGGGGATCATGGGAAGCTGTTTTTAACCAGAAGGCTTGTCATTTGTGGATGAGTCTCTTACTGGTGGCTGTAGTAACCATGGGTAGCTGGCATCAGAGTCAGATTGAAGCAGTAGACATTAGTGGGGTATCCAGAGAGATGGAGAGGAGGTTGGGAGAAAAGTCCTATATAGTTGGTGAGAGATGTGTGTGAGTACAATTAGCTCCTGGCAGCATGGATGACCACAAAAGGCGACTGTGTGACATGTGGCAACCATATGACTAATAAGTTAGAACACAACACTTTTGAGAGTGAGAGGCATTCCTGTTTATAGTTATGAGCTTGCCACACACGAGCTGGGGTGTATCTTTACTCCAAGATTGAGGAGGCTCGGGTGCCAGTGACATGCGGAGCAGCACCTCCACCCAGGAAGTGCCCTCCCCCAAGTTAAAAGCTGGGAGTACTCCTTGACATGCCTGTGACCCCCAGGAATGGGGGGGGGGCAGGGGAATGCTATGGAGACAGGAGAATTGCTGTGCTAGCTGGTTGCCAGCCTAGCCAAAAAGCAAAAAACAAAAACAAAAACAACCATGCACTATAGGTTCAGGAATAGACCCTGTTTCAAAGGAGTAACGCAGAGAGTAATAGAGATCTGATGTCACTCTCTGGCCTCTGCACATACAAATGCATGGCAATACACACATGTACATATACCACACTGTCACACACACTTAAACTGCACATAAAGGCAGGAAACTGAAATAAAGCTGCATGGCACTGTTTGGCTGTAACAGTTTCACTGTGCACCAACCGGGCCGTCTTCCATCAAGACTTACATTCACATCCATCTATCACGTATTCACAGTGTGGTCTGTGCTGTGTGTTATGTGTGTGCTGCTACACTGTGCTGTGTGTTACGTGTGTGCTGCTACACTGGTCCCTCCTAGCCACTTCTGTTTTACAGACAAGTCAGCTGGAGCTGTGAAGGGCCAGGTCACTGCCTTAGGGCTATGGACTCAGTATGGGACTCAGTCTACTTCAGCTGTTTAAGACATGGCATGCTTTTCATGTTTATGCTTTTGGAAGCAGTTTTCATCTTCTAAGTGTTCCTTTAAGTTTTTAGGTGGGTGATGGTCGTGGCATTTTGCAAATAGGTGTGTAAATACCTACCGCTGCCAAGACCATGCTGAGAGGCCTCACACACTTGATTAGTAATTGCTATTTGAACATTGCTCTTTTCTTTTTTTTCTTTTCAGGAATCTATTTCTGTTTAACCTTGTGATTGTTTCTTGCTCAAAGGAAAAAGATGATTCTGCCTGCGTCCTCTGTGGTCAGCCTCTGGTTCCGCCATCTCCCAAGTCTTGAAAGAGCAACTCTGCATCTTTTTGAAAAGCTGTTCTCCAGTGAGAGGCATTGCCTGCGAGAAATGGAGTGCTGCATAAAAGAGTCATTGCTGGTACGTGCTGGGCTTTGGTGACAGTAGTAAAAAGTATGACCAGAGCAGGGGGCCTTTAAGCTTACCATTTATGCTTTGTGAGGAGCATCTTATGATTAGAAGCGTCCTTATTTACATCTGTGTGTGTGAGTGTGTGTGTGTGTGTGTGTATGAGAGTGTGTGTGATGTGTGTATGAGAGTGTGTGTATGTGAGTGTGTGTGTGCATGTATATGTGTTTGTGTGTGATAATGTGTATGAAAGAGTGTGTGTGTGTGATGTGTATGTGAGTGTGTGTGTGTTGATTCCAGCCACTTCCTGACGATAAGGAGGTTCAGATGCTCTCCTATATTTGCCATGTTCCATCACATTGCCCCATTTCACAGGAGAAAACAGACCATGTCCTTACCTCTGGCATGTGTAGAATGTAGTTCCCAGGGATCTGAAGAGGCCAGAGATGCAGAATAGGCTTTTAAAAAATATTGTTTCTCATTTTAACATCTTGTAGATAAGAGAGAAAGAGCTAAAATACAAACTCAGAAAGTGAACATAGAGCTCTTCATAATGAGAAAGTGGAGTCTTGAAAAGAAACAAGCTCAGGAAAATGTCTAAAGCAGCAGAACCAGTTAGACTGGCGTAAGTTTTCTTTTGGGTGCAGCTCCTGCATACAGAAGTTCCCTTCAGGAGTGGTCAGGATCTGGCTGGTTGGAGTGTCTGCCTTTAGTGGGGTTAGAGAGGTTCTGTAGGAACCAGTGTCTCTGGGGAGAAAAAAAAAAAAGATACCCAAACTACACATCACACAATATGTGGTGACAATTTCGCTCTAAGAATCAAGTTTTCCCCAGTGAGGGTAGAACCTTTTATTTAATCCAGTGACAGGCTGAGACAGAAGTATCTTTCAAGTGAACTGCTTTCTTGTAAGATATATAAAAAGAACAAGCAAAAGATGTGTGTGTGTATCTGTGTGTGAGAGTGTGTGTGTGTCTGTGTGTAAAGCAAACTAAACTGAGCACAGTGGTTCACTGACTTGTTCAAGTACTCGTCAGTTGAGCCTAGTTTGAAATCAGTTTGGTTGGTGGGGTCGCAAAATGTCTGCGGTGGATAAAGTTGCTTGTTGTCAGGTTCAACATGAGCTCAATACCCAGGACCCACATGGCAAAAGGAGATAGGAAACTACCACAGATAGTCATGTTGTGACATGTACCACCACCCCCTAATAAATAAAATGTAATTTAAAAACAGCCTGGGCAACATAGCAAGACCACATTAAGAATATGAAAGAGACTTACTGTGCACAGAGTGCTAATAAGAAACCAGCCAGTGTCCACCAGGAGACCAGCTCCTTCAGGCAGTGGGCCTAGATTTTGGTGAAGACCTCAGAGGCTTTAAAGAACTTGTTCACTGAGGCAGACCTGCAGCTGCCAGGTCCTGTTTATTGTGCATGCTCACAGGGCAGAGTCACAGCGACTTGTGTCTCAAATGCAGTCTGCAGCAGCAGTGTTTCCTCTTCTAGAAGGTGTTTCATCTCAGTTTCCTAGTGTCAGGTTCTGGAGTAAGAGGTCCAGGACACATATCCACACACGCTTGTCACTGTGGCTTTCGGCCACCCAGCATGGTTACAGAGAGGAGTTTGTGTTGTCAGAGTCGTCAGGTGAGTCGAATTTGAGCTGTGCAGTGGTGGCGTACGCCTTTAATCCCAGCACTCGGGAGGCAGAAGCAGGCGGATCTCTGTGAGTTTGAGCCCAGCCTGGTCTATAGAGCGAGTCCCAGGACAGACAGGGCTGTTCCACAGAGAGACCCTGTCTCGGAAGATCCCATGTCCCCAAGAGTCATCCTGTGGCTAAAGAGCACAGCGTTGCAGGTGCGGCGGGGCTGCCCTACAGGAACCCCAGCAGCCTCCTCTGCGCTCTCAGTGGTTCTTATGCCCTGGGTGTCTGATGGAGGCAGCGAGTTCCCATAGCAGTGCAGGATAGTGGCAGCTCCACTCAAGAGCCAGGGAAATGGGAGAGCACGTGTTGGCCGTGGTCACGGCCTAGACTGAGGAAGGTGCCAAGGCTGCCTGGCTGCCCTGCGCTGTTGAAATCACTTTTCAGATTGGAGACCATCAGGGAATTAGTCATGGGCAGCAGTTGCTCCAGTTCTCTCTCACACACGTTTGTGCATATGTATGTACATTTGCACGAATGAGTGCTACTTCTCACCATTTTCAAAAGCTACATAGAATTTTCAGGAGCAGCTTCCTTGCAGAGCCTGTAGATCATCTAGAAGCCCTCTGGAACAGCCCCTTCCAGGTTAAGATGCAGTAAGTTACTTTATCTGGTAAATGTCTTTATTTCTAAATTAAATGTGCACATTGTGACTTGTTATTTTCTCTCTGGCCTGCCTTGCTCTCAGTGCAAAACGACGACACTGCGTTCAGGCTGCTTATCACAATCCTTTACATCTTCCCTCAGTGGCAAGCTTCCCAGTCCCGGGGATTGCCTGTGACTGTCGATGTCATGGCTTCTTTTCTGAACCTTGTCTGCATCTGTTTCACCTGGAGCTGTCAGCCCAACCATCTTTAGTGAGCACAGGAAAGTGTCGTCCCCCCAGACGCAGTATTGAGGGAACCTCAGACTCCTGGTCAAGGAGCTTAGAAACCACTTATCAGGATCATGTGTGGGAAGCTTCAGAGCTTTTATTATGGTTGACGAGGGACTTGAGGGGGGTGTTACTTGGTTAAATTTATTGTGGCATTGCCAGGATGTGACCTCTCTATGCCTTGTGGTTCATGGAGGTAATTACAATACAGACAACAAGCTGGAAGCCTCTGATTGGCTTAGGCAGATCTCCTCCGCCATACTGAGCCCACAGAGCCAGAGAGCCCAGCAGGGTAGAAAAAGCCCGTGACCTGGCTGAGTGATTACAGGGGTAACTTGAAGAACCTGCTTCCTGATTGCATCATCTGATTCATTTATCGCAGGGCAGCATCTTCGAGCATTGACAGGGCCATTTGCAGTATCAGATCTGTAAGACTCAGCTTGACTGCTACGTTTTTTGCTGCCCAAGAAACCTGATGCCAATTGCATTAGTGCTAGATTCTGACAGTAATTAAAGTGTGATGGTCTACATAACTTGTGTTTTGTGTGGAACACTGTTAATTATATTCCAATCTCTTGGGACTATCAAGAATGATTCCTGGAAATTCTATAGTTACCCAAATGTAGCAAAAACAAAAGATAAAAGTACTGTGCAAAGTGTAGTGACCTCGCTGAATGTCCTTTGGCCTTCTGGAGACTTAAGAGGCCTGGCAGTTTCTGGTAAGAGAGTGAATAATAGGAGACTAGTCTGAATTCACTTTAATTCCAAATGAGGTGTGTGTACATGCACATGCGTGAGACTTGAGAAATAAAAATGCATTCCCAAACCTGTTTATGTTTGAGATTCAACCTTTGGCTTCTTTACCCTCGATTGTCCCCAAGATCATGGCTGCCTGCCATAGTTGGTGGCCCCAGATAGATCAAGGTATTAACCCCAGTTTGTCATTTACTGTGCAGACTGAAAGTTTCAAAAACAGATGGTCTTGTGTTTCCTTTGACAGAGCAGTCACCAGGAGACCGTAATCTGTAGCCTCAGACCTGACCTTAAAAACTGACATCAGGGGAAGTAGTGAAAGCCACTTGCTAATTATGCAGCCCTTTTGGCACGATGCTCTTTGCCCAGGCTGGCCTTGTATCAAGGAGGCTGTTTTCCTGTTACAGCTCTCTGTGTGGAGCCCAGAAAGCTATTGTTTAGGTCCCCAGTTTGAATGAAAAGGGCCGGCTGGATGGCAGGGTGGCCTGTGCTTGGCTGCTACACTGTGGTACGTGCCAGAACCAGGGGCACCCCGGTTCCCATGCCCTCCTGTGCACTTCCTCGTGGGCTGACCCGCCTGCTGGAAGCCACCACTTTTGGGCCTAGGAGAGCTGCTCCAAAGAGGGGGTGCATGGGAGGCAGGAGGCAGGGTAGGGCTTTTGTTTTACTCTGATCTTAAGTCAGAGACTATTCCTCATTAATTATCTTACTTAGAAGAGTCGGTAGCTCAATGAAAATGATCTTTGTCTGGTCGAGCATTTTCATCAGTCTTGTCGGAGTGCTTCCTGCCTGAGCTCTGATGTGAGACATGTAATTAAACCAGAGCTGGAGTGGGGCGTCTGTCTGTACTGCACTTTCCAGTGTCCGCCTCCAGAGGGCACCAGATGCCCCAACATTGTCTTCAAAGAAAGCCCAGGGTACAGGACAATCTTCGCTCTTGGGGTTGCAGGCCTTGTAGCTACTGGAAGGTGGAGGGGAGGAGGACCACAAACAGACAGGCTATTAAAAAATAGTGAGCCATGGCAGCCCCTCCCATTCGAAGATGAAGTTGAGAAGCGGTAAGACTTGAGTTCGAGCATAAGTTCATACCAGCACCAAAGCTGGAGGAGTCTGTCCAGCGTGCAGAGCTGGGCATCCCACAGGGTGCACCCCCCACTTCTGTGTCCTGACACCGAGACCTCACGTAAACTTAAAACATAAGAGCACATTTGGTACTTGTTAAGGTCTTAAGCCCAAGAATGACAGATTTATCACTAATTAAACAATAATTGCATTATGGGGTACTGAAAAAAATTGCTTGTAGTATAAACAACATCTGGTAAAGATTAAAAAGAAAGCTCAAATTTGTTGTAAGAAACATGAATCTTTTAAAACAAAATAGATTCTAAAATGTGAAAGGGTTGTTTAGTTTTATGTTTAACATTTTAAAAATAGAAAAGAAAATGCCATAATAAAAGTATGTATTTCTAAAAATGCCTTATTACATAATAAATGTGAAGTTTTTTTATATAAAGGTAGATTTTTTAAGGTAAATGGTTTTTTTTTAACTTAGTAAAAAAAGTTTATTTTGAAGCCTAAGAAGAGACTTTCTATTTTGTTTGGATTTGTGTGTATTTTTGTCTCTGCGATTACTGTGGTCACCTTTTAACTCATGCCTGTATACAGAGAGGGGTGTCTCTTGTCAGTAGAACAGTGGGGGCTGACTGCACACAGGGGATGGGCTTACACCTCTGGTGTTCAGTCTGTCTCTATGATCACTTCTGAGTAAAACATCAAACAACATTAGGATGGACCAAGGAATCCATCCTGAGCCACTGAGCTTGAGCCTGCCACTCACCTGCTGCTTCCCTCTTGGTTCTGTGAGGTGGAAGACTTGTGGCTTTCATTCCTTGTTGACTTTTTCTGCGAGGTATTCACTTTTCTCTGTGAATCACCTTATGAGATTCCTGTCTCTGTCTCTCTCTCTCTCTCTCTCTCTCTCTCTCTCTCTCTCTCTCTCTCTCTCTCTCTCTCTCTCTCTCTCTGTCTCTCTCTCTCACACACACACACACACACTCTCTTGCTGTCCCAAACACACACAAACACTGTCATACATACACTGTCTCACTCTCTCTCATATACACTCTCTCAAACAACACTCTCTCACACACAAACACTGTCACACACACTATCTCACTCTCTCTCACACACACACACTCTCTCTCTATCTTGCTGTCTCAAACACACATTGTCACACAAACTGTCACACACACTATCTCACTCTCTGTGTCTCTGTGTCTCTCTGTCTCTGTCTCTCTCTTCTCTCTCTCTCTCTTGCTGTCTCAAACACACATTGTCACACAAACACTGTCACACATACTATCTCACTCTCTCTGTCTCTGTCTGTCTCTGTCGCTCTCTCACACACACACACATACAGACACACACACACTCACACACACATACAGTCTGAAAGCCATTGATAGGAAAGAGAGCCCTCTTCCTGAGAAACTGCTGTGAGTTCGCAGCCTCTTTGGAGTGTCAGGCGGCTCATAATAATCGTTGATACACCGGGATGAAAATAGTTTTAATGAGCTCCATGGTTACGCCAGAGAGTCACCCCACTCACACAACTCATGGCGCAGATGGGGAGGTGGGCTCCAGCACTCCTCACCTGTCTTGTTGATGCTCTGTCCGTCCACATTGACTCATCTTCCTGAGTGCTATTGAGGGATGGAAGTGAGCCATCCTGGGAGCGAGAGTCTCATCAGATGGCAGAGCATTCTGGTTCCCAGCAAAGGAAGAGGGCGAGGAGGCCACAGGTCTTTGTCATCATCTGTCAGTTCTCCAGTGCTCATTGAAATTGAGGGGCAAGGAAGGGTAGAGTGTTCCTTTTATCTCTTGATGACTCAGATTCCCCGGCATGAAGCAGTCTCCATGTGAAGATCGTTAGGCCAGATGGAGGAGAGGGTTTGAGAAGGAACAGCTTTTGGGGGGTGGAGAAAAACAGATGAGCAGATGGAACCTGAGGCAGCCTCCCTTCCTCCCTCCCTTTCTCCCTCCCTTCCTTCCTTCTTTCCTCCTTCCTTCCTTCCTTCCTTCTTCCTTCCTTCCTTCCTCCCTCCCTCCCTTCCTTCCTTCCCTCTTTCCTTCCTTCCCTCTTTCCTTCCTTCCTTCCTCCCTCCCTCCCTTCCTTCCTCCTTATGTTGGTAGGAAAGATGATTGACAGATCTCATGATCTGGAGGTGCACATGACTTCTGATGTCCCACCTGACCTGTGAAACACTGAGCAGAGGACATAAATCTGCATTCTCCTCGCAAGGATCCTGTAAGAGGTGGAATCTGGCTTTCAGAGAAGCATGCAGGGAAGCTTTAGCTCTGGTGAGAAAATCGGCTTCTGTGAGTCACAGGGACCTGAAAATACTTTGGTCTTTATGAAACAACTCACTGACACTGAAATTCTGCCCCGAGAAAACCTCCAGTGGCGTGGAGAGGAGGAAGGCTCTGCCAGTGAGAGTAACAAGAAGGAGGGTTAAACATCACCCTTTTCACCGCTGTTTCAGCAGGCGCCCTGCCTGTTTCAGAATCTAAAGTAGCTTGTGGAAGCTGGGAGAAACCAGGGATCTGAAGTCCTCACAAAAAGACATCTACATACAGAGTCCAGCCTCACAAAGAGTGGCTGGACTCCATGGCCTGTGAGGGTTGGAATCACCAGCCGAGCTGTTCAGAAGGAGACCACTGCCTCAAAGGAAAGCTCATTCTGTTTTTTTCTTTGACAGACTAGGTCAGAACCTCTTCCTGTGTCCTCTTACAGCTTTTCTTTCCTATTTAGAAACCCATGTCATCAGGTCACATGATTCTCAAACTCTCCTTAAGGCACTTAGAATAAAAGAAGATGGCTTTTCTTCCCCGAATCCAGTTCTGGTCCTGTTTCCCCCAGTGCACACTCAGCACTGTGTCTGAGTGGGCGTGTGGCTCCCCAGGGGGCTGGGGTCTTTAGACTTTGTTTTTAGAAGGTGTATTCCTACATAAAACAGAATTGCCCTGGCAAAGTTAGCTGAATTCTATTTCTTTAAGACATGCAGTTTGCTTCTCTCCTGTTTGGACGTTTCCATTATGATCACATAGAAGCTCCTTCAGTGTTTTTTGGGCCTATGTCCAAGTGCCCTAACAACTGTTAGTGTTTACCGTGATTCTAAAGAGCAGGCAAATTAAACTATTTTCTGAGATCAAAGCTAAGAAACAGCACGTCCTTTCTGTGTTACTCATTTAAGTAGGTGACAAGTTTATGAGAATCTGAGGTTCACTTCATTTGGATGAAGATGTGTATTGACAAAGGGTTAGAAATCATGTGTTACTCTATCTGAAAATCAGAAAGCGTTAACTTGGAAATAATTGTAAATGTCTTTGTCTGTGGCAGTCTGTAATGCTCATATATGACCACTAGATGGCACATACTCCATGTTGCGAGTTAAGCTGCCACAGCAGAACTTAACAAACGGGAAGCCAGGAGATACACTCAGCTTTCTTCAAGGTTGTTCAGGAAAGTAACATGTACGGCCTGAGGTGGCTATGAAAAAAAAAAAAAAGATCCCCAAACTAGTCATAGCAAGCACAAAATGCCTTTAGAAAGCCCTTGACTAGAGCCTGGCTGACATATCTGGATGTCACTCTGCGTTTTATAATGCAAAGTTTTAAGCCCTGAGCAAAAGTACATGGAAACTGATAAGGCCCACTGAGGTCCTACCTAGGCCCCAGGAAGCCAACTTCTTTGGATTGGAATCATCAAAAACCCACCAATGGGCTGTTTAGGACTAGAGAGCGATCTATCACCAGGTGCCATGCAGCTGTGGTCTCCATTAACCGATAAATGTGCCCTGCATCGAATGTCCAGCACAGAGCCACCTGTTTCTTAGGTGCTCATTACCAAATACAGGGCAGAGGTGGGGTGGGTTGGAGGGTGAAGAGGACAGCAGAGGCTGCTGCTGAGGCAATTGTAGGCCGGATGAGGAGGTCCTAAGACAGGTCTGTGACCTGTTGTCATAAAGTGGAAACTTACTTTTTTTTCCCCCTTCATCATACGGATTTAATATAGAAAATGTGGTTACAATAGGAATACAAAAATGTTTGCCCACAGCCCCTGCCCAGAGAGAACCACGGTTGGCCCTTTATGCGTGGGGTTTTCTGAGCCCCCACTCTTTTTATTTAGCCTAAAGGAGTGAGCCCCCTCTCTGGAGCAGCCATAGACCACTGTTTGCCTGATAACCCAGAGTTGCTACTGATGGGTACCTGTTGTGTCTCACTGTCTCATGGCCTTCTCCTTTGACAGCCTCAAGCAGCCTGCCACCCTGCCATCTTCAGAATTGTAGACGAAATGTTCAGGTAAATACAACCTATCTTTGGGAAAAGTTGACCTGGAAACGCTCAGCTTCCAAATAAAAAAATAAAATAAAAAATCCTTGCAGTAGTTTCTGGCTGTTGTGGGAAAGTAGAGGCTTGAGTTTCTGAGTAGTGAGTGAGTGTAAAAACTCAGAAGTCAGTGTGCATGGAAGAGGCAGTAGTAGCTGGGACTGAGGCGGTGTTGTTGAACCGTTTTGTGCTCAGCGACAGAGAAGTGGGATTGAATGAGTGAAACAGGCGTGCCAGGTTTTCCCCAGCGCCACGTAAAGCAAGCAGTACCACCCTTCACCACACGAGGGCCGACGGGGCTTTGCCAAAGATCTTGAAGAAAGCCTGGAGACACAGCTGTTGTGAGCAGAGCCTGCGGAAAGGATTTTAAAGACTCAGGTGCTGGGGACACGTGCTGGTTTTAAAGGACCAGCAATGAGGAGTGGGTAACACACAGGTCGGCTCTGAAGTCCGTGGGGATTGTAACTGTGGAGTCCTAAAGATAGACCTAGGCTTCCAGCCCCATGTGGGTGTGAGCAGTGAGGGCCTGGAGCTGCCTCCACACTGCCCGTCTCTCACATCGACTTGGAGGAAGGGCTCCAGGGCGGACAACAAGCTCCAACGAAGGAATTTGTGTTGAAGGTTTGTTATTTTTAATTATGTGTAGGTATATGCATGTCTATGTGGGTACATGCAAACGAGTGCGTGTGCCCGTAGAGGTCAGAGGGGTCAGGAGCTGGTTGCAGAAGGTTGTAACCTGCCTGCTACGGATGCTGGTAATTGAATTCAAGTCCCGTGGAGAAGCAGGGAGTGCTCTTAACCCAGAGCCATCTCTCTAGACCTAGGAAAGGAGTTTTTACAACCAATGCCTCACCATTTCTGTTGCACTTAAAACATACCAACTTTAACTTAAATGGCCACAGATGTAAGAGTACTGGTAGTGTTTTTATTTAAGGCTAGTCAAGTTTGAAAAAAAACTTTTTTTCTTTAACAAAAAGAAAAGTTAATTGTATAAAAATGCTTGGAAACCAAACCAAGTCCACCCGACTCCCCAGGAGTGTGCCACTCTCCAGGGAGCTCTGTCCCAGCTGGCGAAAACAGAACACCTGCTGTTGCTGGCACTGTCCGGGCCATGAGCATGAGCGCAGCAGCCAGCCCGTGGGGAGGGTGTGTGGCAGGGACTGGAAGGGGGGCTGCCCCCTCCCGGCCTTCCTCCCCTCAGGAGGGAGTGAGGCAGAGCCCAAGCCGTGGCATGCCAGCACAGAGTTGTCTCCTCACTTTACTTTGTTCAGGGTTGTGCTGCTGGAGACTGACGGAGCCCCAGAAGTACTAGCCGCTCTCCGTGTATTCACCTGGTGCTTGGCAGAAGCTCTGGGAAGAGAGAACAAGCAGGTACGTCGCACCGTGAACCGCTTGCTCAGTCCCCTCCGTGTGCAGGATTTTCCGTGGGCATTCGGTAACCATCTGAAAGCATCTTTACCCTGAGACATCGTGTCTTCCTGGCACTGCAGACCACCCACAGCCTCACACGTGCTAGGCGCATGCTTAGACACTGGCTCCACTCCCAGCCTTGTGTTCAGAAATGTTGATGGAGCCTTGTTCACAAAGGAAGCGTCCAAAGGGCCGCTCCTGCAGAGATGAAACATTTTAACTGAAAATAACTAAAGGTTTTGTCTGTCCTCCCCATGCCCTGTGTCATAACCATCTGCCCACTGCTGCGTCCGAGTGTGTCTTCACATTGGTCATCTCCCTAGAGAGAAAATCCCTACTAGCCCTCATCCCCCTCCCCAAGCCCTCTGTGTTTGTCCTGAAGCCAGCAAGAGACACTGTGCAGTCTACCTGAGATGTACTATACCCACTGCAAGCCGGGCGGCGTCAGTGATCATTGTCTTTATTCCCTCCAGAACCACAGGAGAGAAAGGAGGTGGGCAGAGGGAGGGACTTGAAGAACTAGTAGAAGTTGGATGCCATCAGTAGACCAGAGGGACTCCAAGCTCCTCTCAGCAGAGGTTGGAGAGCATCTGTGAGGGCTGCTGGCCAGTTAGAATGACCATGTGAAGCAGGGGCTTTTCCTGCGGAACATCTTTGGGCCCAGGGATAATGGGTATGTGGTGCTTCCCTCCTTGGAATGGCACTGGTTCTGGGCATCTTTGCTGTGAAGGATGGCCTAGTGCCCTGTGCTGCTGCCTGCAGTTTTACTTAGGCGTGGAGAGCTAGGGTGCTCAACCCACTAAAACCCTACTCAGCCCAAGGCTGTAGAGGTCTCATGTTTTAACAGACGTTTCTGCTTTCTAAGGCAACCATGCACATATATGGCATATTCATGCCATCCCAGATTACAGCAAACAGCATTGATGGTTTCCATCTTGGTATCAGCCGAAAGGCGCGCACTGTTGTGAGCAAAGCTGTAAACATGTGCCGTCCTCCCTTACACACTCTTGGTATCCTCAGGGAGGAAATGGCCTCCAGCAAACCTTGTCCTTGGTTGTACTTCTGGGATGCCCAAGTTGGGCAGAGGACAGGAGAAAGTTTCTTCTTCAGCATTGATTTGAGTGTTCTTCTGGCTTTGTCCTGAGTGTCTGCTGGCCTTGGTGCTGTGAATTTGGACTGGAGTGACAGTGCTTCTAGTTTGAAACAGTGACTGCTGGTCACATGTGTCTGGGAGTAGAGGGATACACACTGAGCCCTGGTTTAAGCACGGTAGGAATCCAGAACCAAACAAAGCTTATTCCCTGCCTTTGGCTCCACACAGGTGCACAACAGCCTCCTGACCTTGCAAACACCTTCACATCCACATATGGTGATTTATTTTCTCTTCCTGGTGCTGCTTTTGACAGCCCACCTTCTTAACTGACGACTCAAGGGTAGACCCAGGACTAATCGTAACACGGTTCTGCACTGCTTTGTCTGTCCTGACCCTCTCTCCTTCAGTTGTTGTGAGCAGAACAAGTGTCAGTAGTAAAGCCACTTCCAGACAAGCCCTGCGTCACTGGTGTGTTGACTCCAGTGTTCCTCTGCCTTCCTCCCAGTAAACCCAGGCAGGGTTTTTGCGTTTATTATCACCTTTCTTTCTCCAAAATAGTTTGATTAGCCGCATGGAACAACAAAGACGGTTTTGGTGTTGGTTGCCATTTATGAGACACACAGCGGGGCAGCACATGTGACCCCTGAGCCTAGCTTCTCTACTCAGTGCTTTGAAGATGGCATCAGGCCTCTGACACCATGGCCTGCGCGAAGGTACCACAGCATAGCCATTGTCTAGTTCCTGGCACTCGGCTACTTTTACGTTTGCTTTCTGTTGTAAACATGTTGTGCTTATGGGGTGCAGAGTTGGGTTTCACAGGTCCTGCCACGTTGGTTACAAAGCACACTACTCTCTTGTCCCACCCCATACTCTGTGGGAGAGTATGTCGTACATGCTTCTTTCCCCTCTACCCTTTCCTCTCACCCAGGTCCATGTGGGGAGCATGGAACAGCATTCATTACCTGTGTGCCCTGCTCAGCAGCAGGCGAGAACTTGAGCTCACATTCTAAGCCTCTGTGGAGCACAGACAGCCTCAGGTCAGGGTGGATTCCAGCAGTTGAACAGATAGACAGCTCCTGACTGTTGAGTCTCCTGTAGATGATGCCATCCCACGGGGTGGAGTACTGTTAAATCCGGCACAGCTGACAAGAGCAGGGAGGGCCTCAGCAGGGGAACCATGCCCACTTCTCACTAAGGCCCCTGGGACAGCAGGGCGTAGAACCATAACTCAAGGTGGTCCCAGAACTCCTGAGGTAGGAAACAGAAAGAAACCATGCCAAAAGATAGCAGCTCCAATCCCAACATGTTGAAGGGAGGTTCAATTAGGAAAATCAAATGATGGAGAGTAAAAAGGCAGGCATGTCGGATTGAATCTGAAACAAGACCCAGTACGTGTTGTTTTCAGAGACCCCATTCTCAAGACAGAGAGCTGATGCATAGAAAGAAGTGCAGGGTCCTCAGGAGTGGAGAGCACACTGACTTGTAGAGTAGAGAAGACAGGATTAGACAGTGGCGGTCACAGTGGCAGACTATCAGTTCACCAGGAGACCTGCCGATCATAAACAGGCAGGAAACGGAATGTGTGGACAGGCCCAGCCCACAGAATACCTGGGAGCTGGTTGCTGAGGGCAACTAATGCAGCCCCAAGTCTGTTCCCCAGCCTGCCCTTCTGTTCCTCGTTTCCTCTCAGGTGAGCAGTGACCCCTCTGCAGGGCTGGGAATCAAGCCCAGGGCCTCGAGTGACAGATTCTGGCCTCTGTGAGGCTGGGAATCACACCTAGGGTCTTGTATGGCAGACTCTGGCCCCTGCAGCAGGGTTTCTCAAATGCAAATTCACAGGCTGATTCTCAGGCTAAGCTGGACATACAAAGGACCCACAAAAGCCAGAAAGCAAACAGCTTGAGGACTCACACTATAGTAATTAAGCCAGTGAGGGGTGGCAGGGTACAGACGCATTCATAGGAGCTTTGACAGACGCCAGGGCAGCATAGTGAGAGAGGGTGTAAAACCACTGGATACCCACTTGTGGGGAGGGCAAACCTCAGACTTCCATAGAAGGCACCCAGAAGGTGCTCTGAGATGGGTCATAGGCTTCAATAGAGAAGTCAAAACTATAAAGCCCTTAGGAGAAAATGCCATAGCATATCCTCTTTTTTAACAATGGATAATCAAAGATTTCCTAGAAACAATGCCAAACAGAAAAGAAACAAAACAAAACATTGGCCATACAGAAAAGATGGATAAATTGGACTTGCATTAAAATACCATGTCTATTCTGTAGTAGATGTCTTGGAAGATGAACAGGTTGTCCAGCAGCTTAGAGGAACTATCTGCAGTATTTATCCTGGAAGACTTGTCTCTTACAGCTTCATAGGAGACACATCAGTTTTTTTTGTTTGTCTGTTTGTTTTATGGTCACACACTTCAGAAAGCTATTCAAAGTAACGCTGCACACATGAACAGGCTTCAGCATCACCTGCCACACAGAGAAAGCTCAAAAACAAGCATGTATGAAGTAATGTTTCACGCCAGGAAACCAGCTAAAACCAATGAGTTCCAGAACACCCAGTGTTGGCAAGCAATTCTCATCCTGTGATGGTGGGAAGGGACACTGTTGGCCTTGAAATGTCACCACTCCCATGGTGCTCACCCTAGGAAACTGAAAGACCTAGGCACAAAAATAGACATGCATGCCAGTGGCAGTTTTAGTTGTACTCATCTTTGAGGGGTAGACAAGCGAATCCTGGTGTATTCATGACTTCTAAGCAGCGCAAAAGACTAGATGCAGATGCAGGCACACTCAGCGTGTCTGACTGTGTGATCTTTGGGGAATAAGTGACCTAATTATCGATCTCTCCTGTGTGAAATAAAAATACTGATTGCCAGGCTAGGGTTTAAGAGTCACAGGGAACTCCCCCGAGTGATGGCAGCATTGTGCGTGTCACGATGAGGTCCTGGTCAGGTGGAATCACACACTCATCCACGATTATCAAGCCGTGTGCATACGTAGGCCTGTATAGCTCGTGTGTTTTAGACTTTACCTGGTTATGTTGTTGAGTGTTTGCTTTATTTCAAAACCTCTGTGCCTTTGACTGGTTTGTAAGTATAACCCCACGTCCTCAGCATAAGAGAAGCTTGTTAGAGACCCTGACTGTGCCACACTGAGACACCGGGTTCCATGCGTGTTTAGCATCCCTCTCTGAAACTGAAGATAATTTCTGTGGCTGGGCTTGTGTGAGGAGACACCTCGGTAAAGATGGCAGCAAGAGAATGTGACTTCCCTGAGTTCCAGAAGGTGATTGCTAAAGGATGTTGTTTCGGCTGCTTATGAGATTAGGTTATGGGAAGCATGTTTACAAAACGTCTGAGGCCACCTCCTGCTGTTAGAACAGTGGGTCTCCAGGGCTGGGAGCAGGCAGAGGTCCCAGCATTCATGCCACTCCATCTTGACTCTTACAGGTGAAGTTTGCCCTCAAGACCTACTTTCCTTACGGTGCTCCATCCCTCACTGCAGTGCTGTCCCAGCGCCCTGACGGTGAGTTGAGGGGCCTCTGCCTGTGCCGTAGAGGCTCGTGGGAGTGAGCGTGGTAACCCATGGCCCTGACCTCCCGGATCTTCTCTGCCTGCTTGGAAGACCCTGCTTTGCTTTTGGGTGTGACGTGGGAAAGGAAGAGAGCCCAGCTGCGGGGCCGTCAGTCGGCCTCTGAGAGCAGCTTTGCTGAGGCTCAGGGGACAGGCTGAGTCAGAACACAACAGTACCTTTGTTTGTTTTTCCTAACTTTGCTCCATGCAGCCTTGTACAGAACAAAGGATGAAGTGAAGGATGAGGCCATCGCATTTTAGGGAGATTTTTTTTTCACCCAAGCCAAGGAGAAGATTTTGAAAAGATTCAGTAATACTGCATTGTTAGGCCCCAGCCTTTTCTGATTCATCTGCCAGTCTGCTTCCCTAGGCCATGTCTGAAATCTACTGGTGTTGATCTGCGGCCGTGTCTATGAGCTCACGTTTAGGGAATGTCTCAGCTATGAAGCATAAAGGAGCCTTTTTCCTCTGACGCCAGCCAGCCGCAGTCTGCAGACAAGGCTTGTGACAGGAAGGGGAGGGATGGAGGAGGGCTCACGTTTCCCTGCTGTGGCCACTGTGGCTTCTTACCCCTAAACTTGGGTAAAATCTGTTTGAGCTTAGCAAATGACCCAGAGTTTCAAAGCATTTTACAAAGTTTGAATACCTTTTCCTTTTTCTAGAAGAGGTAGGCCATTGCCCAGGATGACTTACATGACAAGGCCCAGGGCTGGGGTGGGGTGAGCACAGTGGCCTCAGGGGGATGCCTGCACGGTGGTTTTTCAGTCTCTTCCTTGTAGCAGTCATATCCTCTCTTTATTTCTTTTTCCATTCAATGGGGACACAGTAGGAAGTTTATTAGTAGAATAGAAAAGTAAGGACTACAACCATCCTCAGAGCATAGGTTATGAAACCAGGATGCGATCCAGTCATGTCTCACAGCATGAACTCAGGCTATCTCATCTGCCTGCCCATCCTCCAAAGACTAACAAGTGACTGTAAGCAAAAACAGAGAGGTTGGGTGTTGATCCTGAGAACAATTTGTGTACACATTGCTTTGGGGAGGAGTTGGGTATGTTAGGAGCGTAAGCCTCTATTCATCAGAACTGTCCCCTCATGTTCATGGTGAGGTCCTGGCTCATAACAAGTCACTGCCAAAGTGGTGACCTCCAGGGACTACAGGAGAAGAAAAGTATTGCCTTAGTGACTAGTGAAGAGGAGGCGCCATTTGCTTTCAGAAGTTAAGTCATGACCCTGAGGGAGGGGCCTGTGTGCCCAGGCCTACATTTGTGGAGGAGCAGCGGGGCAGCCTCTCTGCCTCCGGTGTTGTCATTTTGTGGGTTATAGCTACACGTACATGCAGGCCCCATGCTCAAAGGCAGGCGTGAAGTCAACACACTTTAACAACAATTGTTAGCACGGTTCTCTGTGCTTTTCCTCTGGCCTCTGATCACACCCCAGAAAAACAGTCGAACTGGCCGTTTCTTGTCCTTGTCTGTGTATTCAGTGTTATCCCTTTGTATTTTGATGTCACACATTTGAGATGGAGCCAGAATGCGATAAAAAGAAACATGCAGGGCATCTACAGCAAGGCAGTCCAAGTCCTAGGGTAGCTGTGGCCAAGGATCTTCTATTGATTTTTCTATACACCCTAGCTAAAGGTATTTGAACTCAGGCACAGCGTGCAGGGCTGCAGTTCCTGGAAGGCAGAGGCAGACAAACGGTAAGTTCAAGGCCAGTCTGGGCTACACAGTGAGTTAAAGGCACCCTTTCTCAAACAAGACAACAAAAGAAACTTTGAAGTTTGACTCAGGGACAGACCCTGGTTGAGAGAAGTATGGCATGGGTTCTGTGAATGGCGGGGGCGGGGGTGGGGGCATTTCTGCACAATGCTCTCAGTCTAAGCTGCAGGCGTCTCCCTATGGGTTTGGCTTTCCTTGAGTTCCCCCTCCAACTTCTCTCCACCCACAGCTATCCCACGGAGTCACCGGCTTCAGCCTCTGCTGCACGTTTCCCAACTCCTCAGAGAAGCAGTTGAAGACCACACTCGTGGGTGAGCAAACCCCTGGCCACCCACGGCCGTTTCACGGGTGTCTTCCCTGACCTCTCCCCCTGCAGGTTGTCAGCTGAAGACAAACACGCATGCGCGCGTGCACACACACACACACACACACACACTGTCAGTAGGTGAGGAGTGGGGGCAGCGTGGGGCTGCAGGATTGCTCTGTGTGGGTCAGAGGAATAGCCAGCGTTGCAAGTGTGCCTGCCTAGAGTCACTTTTAGCAGGACCTGCATTTGCACTTTGAAATACGCAAAGGAGAGAAACTGCAGAAATGAACTGCATGTTGAGCCCCTGTCTACCACATGAAGGTGTCCTGGTTCCCTAGGAAGGAGACTGAACTCCTGGCCAGTGGGAGGAAATGTTAACTGCTGGCATCCCACCCACCCCCCCTTTTCATTTTTGACATTATTTTCTTTAATCTGGGGGCTAGAGAGAAGGCTCAGTGGGCCCTGCTTCTCTTGTAGAGGACTCAACGTCAGTTCCTTATGCCCATGTTAGGCAGCTCACAGCCCTACGCAGCTTTAGTCCCTGAGGTTCTGATGCCCCCCTTTGGGCCTTTGTGGCCACTTACATGTACAAATGTACACCAACAGGCACACACATAAGTTTATTTCTCCAAGCTAACAGATCTGCCATAGAGTAAATTACTCTGTGCAGCAGGGTGGAGGCCCTCCTCCAGGTGCTGTTCTCCAAAAGCATTCCTATACAGGCTTGCCACCACCTTTATAACACCTCTGGCTTCCTCTGAGCTTTCCCGTGTTCAGAGGATAAATGACAGCACATTCTTTGTTGGCCCAAAACCCTCTTATCACCCCCCCCACTACCACCACCGAGATTCTCTAGTCTGCCAAGACTGCACTGTAGGTGCTGCTGCGTCCACATGTATGATTGAGGGCCCTGTCCATCAAACACTCCTCCCTGGCAAATTCTTATAACAGCTCAGACAGAAGGCTGGTGGTCAGGTGGGGTCGCCGTCAGTACCTGTGCACTCAGTGGGCCTTGGGGTCTACATGCAGGAAAGGATGTGAAGCAGACATAAGACATTTTTTTTCCTGGAAGAGGTGAGGAGAAGGTCAGGCCAGCCAGGTCTGTGCTGTGAGTAGGGTTGGCTGCTTAGTGTACTTGCTGATGAGGTCTGGGAGAGAGACTCGGGCAGCCCTGCCCCTTCAGCTGCCGTAATGAGTCAACTTCCCTCTGACAGGGATTAAGGCTGAGGTGTTACCTGCCCTTCTTTCCCTCCATTGTCCCGCAAACTTGATTTAAAAATATAAATCAAATGTTCTAAGGGTGGTTATGGGGCAGCAGTGACCAGAAGGCAAGAACCATGCTTAGAACATGTGCACACTGCCAAGGCCATGATGTTTCTGTCCAGATGAAGATTCCCACCTGGGGCCTAGACCATTCCGCCCTTTGTCTCCCGGGGCAACGCTGTCTGGCTGTGACTGTCAGAGCTACAGCAATGGAACAGGTCCCACCCTTTAATACACATTGCCCAGGTCCCAGGAGGATGAGAGGATAGCTTGGAAAACGTTTTGGCCTTCCTGCCTAAGTGTCCACTTGTTAGAATGGCGTGTTTCTGCTGTGCTGCCCAGGTAGCCTCTTCCCCCTCGTGCTGGAGTCACCTGGGTGACAAGTTGCAGGGTCTCACTACGCACTACAAGCCCTACCTCTCCACTCCCTGCCCCAAAGTCTCTCTTGGAGCCTAGAATACTACAGGTACCCGGATATAAAGACCTAAATATCCTTAGTCCTCAGTACATGTGGGCTTGGGAGGGTTCCTCTGGTTGTCCTGCGATGGGCTTGGGGTGAGACACAGAGGTTTTCTGAATCCAGTCTGTTTATGTGAGGGTCTTTCTTCAGCGGCAAAGTGCAGCGTAAAGTGCCAGTTCACAAGCATTAAAGTTACTTTGAGCACAGTTGACGGCTGCCATCATGTGTGTGCCTTGCTGTCTTCCAGGTCCCCGCGAGACGCCTTCGAGAGCTGGTTTCTGTTCGCTCACTTTGGAGGATGGGTTGATCTGGCAGTGGAGCAGTTGCTGAGGATGGAAGCCGACCCCCCTGAAGGCCTGCTGTGGCTCTTGGTGTTCTACTACAGCCCACAGGATGGGAGTCAACAGAGAGCGCAGACCATGGTGGGTATAGGCCCTACTGTGTGCTCAGGGTCAGACCTCAGGGAGTAGAAAACACCTACGGAAGGGAGACCTCTACCGGGTTTACCTTTGCTGCCTCAGAGCACTTGCCATATGTGCTGGGCGTGTGTGTGCGTCCACTTGGGCTGAGCTTGCAGCCTGTGATGCTCCCCTGCTTCCACGGGGACCTGAGACAATGGGCTCCCCAGCCGTCAGGCTGCTCGCCTTCTGGGCCTTCTGTCCTCGGGGTTATTTGATCCTAGGTTATTCTGCCCAGTGGCCTCGGCTGCCCTCATTCACTCTCATTCCTCACCCCAGGGCTCCATGCTCTAGGAGACGCCATGCAGGCATGGCAGCTGCCCCGAGGAGCGCTGTCCCAAGGCAGAGGCGGCTCCTGAGCAGCCTGGCCAGTCTGCTCCCACCTCACCGCTTTCCCAAGTCAACCAGACTTGCACTGAGGTGGTCACAAGCGTTAACCACTGGGTCATCTAAATAACAGGGCTCCTATGAGCAGAGCTGGGTAGCTGTCTATGGCAAAGCTGCTGTTATTTATGTAGAGTCTACGTAGTTCAGGAAGCTATGCTTTGATTAAAGCTCTGCCACTTCCTTGCATACGTTTACTTGCTGGCTTTTAAAAACTTCAGTCTAGGGCTGGAGAGATGGCTCAGTGGTTAAGAGCACTGGTTGCTCTCACAGAGGGCCTGGGTTCAATTCCTAGCACCCACATGACAGCTCACAACTGCCTATAACTCTGGTTCCATGTAATCCGACACCCTCACACAGAAACGTATGCAGGTAAAACACCAATGCACATGAAATAAAAACAAAACAAAAAAATACAACGAAAATATCAAAACAAGCCTCCAGTCCCCAGTGCTTTTTGCATGCATTAGTAATTAAAAGGAACAGGTTTCCATGTGCTTAGGGCAGTGCTCCTGTTTGTCCCAAAATCAGAGGCCAGTGCAGTCTTGCGTTTCATTTGTTTAAAGAATGGTTCTCAGCCTGTGGGTCACGCCCCTTTTAGGGATCAAGCAACCCTTTCACAGGGGTCACTTAAAACTGTCAGAAAACACAGATATTTACAATTTGTAACAGTAGCAAAATCACAGTTATGAAGTCGCAATAAAATAATTTCATGGTTGGGGGTTATTACAACCCAAGGGACTGTATTAATGGGTCATAGCATTAGGAGCATGGTGAAAATGAACCTTGGAATGTAAAAGAATTGAAATTTGAGGATAATATTGGATCAGAAGCATTTTAAAGAAGTTTTCATCTGCATATATATTTGAAGATAGCTGCTTAATTAAAAAAGAAGACAGTCTTTGCTTTAAAATATCACATTTGGGCTGTTGAGATGACTCAGCAGATAATGGCACTTGTCACCAAGTCTGAAGTTCTCTTTCCACATAATGGAAACAGAACCAGTTCCCCAAAGTTGTCCTCTGACTTTCACACACACATTGTGTCACACACGCCACCCATACACAAAATAAATGAAATAAAAATTAAACCTATACATCACATTAAACTGATTAAGGCAATCCTAGTTCATAATTTTCATCTTATTTTTAGTAGCAACAAGTAAGGTGTGTGAAACACTTGTCATTTCAAAAGCCCTTTCATTTGTATCTTGTATTAGATTCCCTATAAACTAAATTGGTAGGTATGTGCTAATTCATATGGATCATAGATACTAATAGTAACTGCCCTTTGAAATTCAGAATAGTGTCCTGTAAGATTTAACTTGTAGGGGCCAGTAAGATGGCTCAATGAGTAAAGCCATTAGCTGTCAAGCCTGACAGCCTGAGTTTGATCCTGGGACACATCATGGAAGAACTAACTTCCAAAGTCCTCTCTCACCTCCATACATGTGCTGTATACATGGGCTGCACACATGTGTGCATGTGTACACACAAATATAGATGTTTTACTTTTTAAAATGGATTTAGTTTCTAGAAAGTTCTGTGTTGGCACCTGTTTCTACTAGCTAACAAGTTATTTTTCCTTCTTGAAAAGTATGCCTCGGTCTTACTTGGTACGATTAGACACCAAAATAAAAGCAGGCTACTCCATTCAGAGTAGTTTGTGTTGTCGGTCTTTACTCCTTAGCTGGTCACTCAGAGGCAGCCACTGCCTCATCGTAGAAGCCAGAGCCTCCATGACTGATGCCTTGGTGGCTGACCCAGAGGTGCTGGTGTACACCACACGCCAGGAAGGCATCTTCCTCCGTACTAACGGAGACATTTTGTGTGGCTGGGTTTGTGAGCTTTGATCCCTTGACGGTCAGCAGAAATTTGAGGACAGGCTGAACTCAGTGTTGCAGCGCACCAGCATCATAGGACTTTGGAGTTGCTGATGTTTGTGCCTTTGCCTTAACTTAAAAGCACTCGGTCACGGTCAGTCACTTAGCCGTGGGTGCTGTGCTGACAGTCCTCTGCTGGCCGTCCTTGGGGTAAAGAGTGTACCTCTCCTGCCTGGGGTGCACCTCTGCCCGCTGTGCCCACCTGCTTTGGCTAACTGAATTGGATCATGAATTTTTTCAAGACTGTATTTTATGTACCTTTGGCTTGGTCAGAGCCTCAAACCCTTGAGGCAATGTCGTCTCACTTGTAAAAAATCTTTCTGGAAAGGCAGAGATTCACACAAAGGTGGACATCAAAGCGGAGTTCACAGCTGCAGGAGCTGACATGGCCTGAGCATGCATAAGCTGCTGCTATGTACATGGAGACAGATCCTAGCCGTGGACGAGCACGCTGCCAGGAAGTGTCCCATTGCCAGACAGTGCTTAGGCGTGTAACTGGTCACGGTACCCCGTGGACATGTGAAAGAGGAGCAGTAAGAGTTAACTCCCAAAGCATGAAGCACAGGCTTGCCCAGCAGCCCCTTCAGAGCATGCGTGGGGGATTGTTTTTATCATTCTTTACCTGTTCTCCGTCGTGAGCAAAAGCAAGTTTTTATAAGAAGAAAAAGTTTTCTCTCTTACTTTCAAAGAACACATGTCTGCCTTATAGAAGCTTCTAGACACAGAAGGCAAGTTAGAGGAACAAAACAGGCCCTAGTATAGGGAGAGATGAGGATTTGCCTTCAGAGTCCTCGGAGTTTGCAGACCTCTTCAAATGTCACCAGCTGAGGTGGTGGCCATCCTGGGAACACTGCTCCTCTCAGGGCAGGGAACACTCTGGTGCTTTTCTCAGAGTCTCCCTTGAGGTCAGGAGCGCTCATACAAGGCTCCTAGTGTGCTGCCGTCCATGACAGATGGCTCTCAATGGGCCCAAACTCGCAGGGGAGAAGCAGCTCTCAGAGACCCACGAGCTCAGCCGTGGGACTTCTCACAACAGGCTGGAGAGCCTTTTGGCAGGATGCACCATCGATGTGATGTCCTGCGTTGATCTGCCTCTGCAGCCCCAGACTTCTGCCTTGCTCTGTGAGCCACAGGAGTCTCAGCATGAAATAAATATTTTTTATGCAAAAACAACCCACGGATTTAGAACAGTTGCTGTTATTATGTGGATTCCACAGACTTGTGACCTCTGCTTGAGCTGTGAGCATGTACGAACAACCGTCCCAGTGTCTGCAACAAAACAAACGAGCTTGTGTGTGTGTGGCCTGTGCTTCCCTCAGCCAGCCCAGGCGAGGGCAGCCCCTGCATTCTTACCGGCACCTCCCAGTGGGCCTGAGGCTCTAGCTGATTGTGGCTCATAGTGAGGGGTCGTCTTCAAGGGGCCTTTTGTTTTCTCCCACAATAAGAAAATTCTGACTGCATTCTGCTGAGGACTTGCCTTCATATAAAAAAAAAGGTCAGGTCCTGGCGCAGCGCCCTGGCTGCTTGATGGGCAAGACGAAAGAAAGCTAAGAAATTTCCATTAAACATACTTGGGCTTATGTAGAGCTGTGTGTGAATCAGCTGAGCTTTGGCGCCTGGCTCTTCCTCTCCCTGGGCATCAGAGCATCAGACATATCCTAGGGTCACTCATGTCAAGTCCTCCCTAAAGTCTCACCTTCTCATCTTGTATCACCCAGGTGGAGCTGAAGGCACTGCTCGGCCGTCTGCTGACGCTGCTCAGAGGTGAGCGCCTCTCAGCTGTTGATGTGCAGAAAGCAGCCCACTGTCCCAGCGCAGACCCCAGACGACCTGTCTGTGGGCAGCTGGTCAGGCGCCTTTTGCTTAGCCTCTTGCTCTGGACCCCAGAAGGCCATTCGATTGCCTGGGAAGCTATCACCCATGTAAGTTGTTCTTTTTCCAACCTGTACTTCATATTTACACTCTAAGTGAAAGGTAGATTAATCCTCCTTGAGGGTCCTGGCCTTTGAGAGCATAGGCCCAGGATGCTGCCCCAGGGTATGGAGGTCAGTAGGGACCACAGACTCCCCCCCACCTTGCTGTACGTGGAGGGGAAGACATGTTTGCACCCTGCAAGCACATGACCTGCTGCCACTTCCCACAGTTAGAGCTGGGTGTCACTGCCTCCCTCATCTCAGGGACAGGAGTCCAGCTCTGGTGACAGCATGCTCCTAAGCAGCCACAATGACATTCACTGTAACAGGTCAAAGAATTTACTTCAAAAAAAGGTTCGATTACTATATCAGTTTTCTTGCTGCTGTGACAAAGTATCTGCAAAAACAACTAAAAGGCAGTTGTTACATGTTTTGCTCTTGTGTAGCTTTGTGGCACTGGGCCTGTGGTCAGGCAGATAGATCACTGTGGCAAGAATGTATGGCAGTGGCTGTCCACCCATGGTGCACAGGAAACATCAGATCAAGACATCCCTAAGGACCACCCCCAGTGACCCACTTCCTTCATGTAGTCTCCGCCTCCTACAGTTTCCAGAGCCTCCCAAATAGCACTACCAGCCGAGTGTCAAGCCCTAGCACATGAGTCTTTTGAGAAGACAAATTGTCTAAATCACAGCCGTGAGTTAGAGATTCTTAGAGACTCACACGTGGCATGGCGGCTTTGTAAAGGGGCCGGTCAGAAGTGAGTCCCATTAGTGACACAAGAACTCGCAGTGATGGAAACAATGAAAGGGAAAGACAGATAAACTGACTACATGAAGTTTAAAACTTGTGCATCCAAGGCTGATCCCCGAGTACAGGGATGACCCACAGAGTGGGAGGGGGCCAGGGTCGGGATGCATCTGGCATGACTTGCGTGTTCAGAATACATGAGGAATCCTTAGAACCACAACAAAGAAGGGCGAAGGAACTGGACAAACCCTTCTCCAAGGAAAATGTGTGAATGCTTAGAGGCACCTGGGAGACACATGCCCGTGGCAGGGCTGTCACCATACACACCCAGATGGCTGTCTTCTGCAGAACACGTTAGGCAGCACTGAGAATTAGAGTGGCGTCTTCTAGACGTTTCCGGTAGGAAATGCTACAGTGATGCCACTGCTGGAAAGAAAGTCTAACTTTACCATGGGGCATGGTGATCCTGCCCCCCATGTCTGTCCCCAAAGAACTGATGGCAGAGGCTTAAACAGGTATTGTGTAACAGAATTTTCAGCTGTTGACAGCAGTAAGAAGGAATGCGTGACTGGATTAAACATAGGTGCCTGTGCAGACATCATGGAGTAAGTACCCTTTGGCCTTGGAAAGGAAGGCATTTCTGCCACCTGTTACAACATGGATGAACCCTGAAGGCTCTGTGCTATGTGAAATCAACCAGTTGCAAGGAAACTCTTATAGGAGTCCACCTGTCTGAGTCTGACTCACAGTGGCAGAGTTAGAGCAGAGGCTTCACAGGGCTGGGGAGTTGGTATTTAACCTGTGCAGAGTGTCTGGGATGGGTGGTGATGGTCGTACAACATTGTGGATGTAGGTGTGCAGGCCTGGAATCCCAGCATACGAAAGGTTAGAAGCAGGAGGATCAGTGAGCTGGAGGCCAGCCTGCACTACATGAGATATTGTCTCAGAAGAAACCAAAAGGTGAAACAGCATTGTTAACTACAGGAGTTTTATTTTTCAATTATTAACATATTGTGAAATACATAGCTTGATGGATTTCTATAAACAAAATAAAAAACAGAATTCACGCAGCCAGCAACCCAACCAAGAAAGGGCTTTTCCCTATCCACCTGGGTCTCAGTCTGGATGTGAACACTAGGAAAGCCCAGGAGGCAGATGCCTCCCTGACAAAGCCCTCTGCCCACCAGAACAGCAGCCACCTGTGTCAGTGCAGGGCTAACCCTCTCCTGCATCGGGGCACCTCCGGGCCCAGCTTAATAATACATTCAGAAATCTAGGCTCCTAAAACTCATGCCTTCAAGAACATGAATGTGGCACTGAAGAACAGAGGCTGTCACCAAGACAGATGCTGCCTCATCAGACTTCATCCACCATGTTGGGCAAGCAGCGTGTTAGACAAAGGGTCCAGTATTGCAGTCACGAGCAGATCCTGACTCTGTGATTCTCCTTGAAAGTTTCCCAGCTATACCTGAAGTGTTCTGCATAGTGTTAAAGGTGATGGTGTGTTGATTGGATTGACCGGGAATCAGCTCACAGTGTGGACAGCAGAACTGTCGCCAGGAAAACCAACGGCAGCATGTAGACCACTGGAAACAGGAGAACCCCACATGGCCTGCAATCACCAGCCAACTTCCCTGGCAGGCAGGCCTGTTGCAGTAGCTCCGTCAGCTTCCCGGGGTGGGGAGTCAGGCTGGCATGCACACCTGGTGTCACATGGAGAGAGGGACACTGTGTGTGGTCCCTTGGATTTCTTCTCTCGTTGATGGATGAAACGCAGAGGAAAGCAACTGGGGAGGCAGTTTATTCGGGCGCACAGCCCGTCGTGGTGGGGAAGTCACAGCGGCGGGAGCTTGGGGTGGCAGGTCACACTGCATCCTTATTCAAAAGCAGAACACCACCAATGTCTGCACTCACCCAAGGTAACCTTTTTGTTCAGTCTAGGACCCCAGCTCACGGGAGGGCACCGCTCACGTTTCCTGCTTGATTAAACCTCATGCACAACTCTCCTCACTGGCTTGCCTAAGTCCCATTTACCATCAGCTGCCACACACAGAACAGCAGCAAAACGACAGTCCAGGTCTCACCAGAGGAAAAACATGAGACACACCCTGGGTAAGGGATGTTGCACAGAATTACTGATGCCCTTCGAGGTGGTCAGAACAAGACTCTGAGGAACCTCCATAGTCAAGAGCGAGAGGAGACAGGATGGTGGCCCTGCTGTGCCCTGGATGAGATTCTGGAGAGTGCAGGACAGAGAAGACATGGAAGCCAGAATGAAGTGTGGACCTCGCTGAGTGACAGGGACACAGCATGGGTGGATGGGTGGGAGCTCTTCCAACTGTGCTACCTGTGGTGACACCAACTCTGATGCCGTTGACAGTAGGTGCTTCTGACTTACGGAAGTGGCGAGTGTGACCTCTTCGTAAATGCTCACCCCAACTGTGGACGGGGCCAGCTCTGCTGCTGGGGCATGGCTTCCAGAGCCACATGGTCCCTGCTCTTTCTGAGTCCTGTCCCCCCTCACTGACTATAGTGGCTTAGGTCCTGCCTGAGATGTGAGAAATCTCCTGGAGATAGCAGCTCTCTGCTTGGTGTTCCAGCAGCCTTTCCATACTCAAGACAGGTCACATGGCCCACGCATGCCGCAGCTTCTGAGAGGGGAGTTGGACCTTGTACGAAGTCCGGCACTGTACTGCACATACCCACTAACGGTGCTCATCTACCCCAGGCACTGCAGTATCACAGAAACCCAGGTCAGTTCAACTGTCTAGAGAAAGCCACACACTAGTTCCTCCATGTGCTCCATCCCAGAGTCCAGCAGGCTGCCAGAAACTGTCCTTGCAGCTACACAGCCTGCCTTTACAGGAGGCTTGACCCTGGGCTTCTGACCCCCACCCCAGTCAACGGCAGGAACCATCTACCTGCAGCATAGTCTTCTGCAAAAGGGCACTTCTGTAAGAGCAGTGTGGGTGCCGCCACTAGAGGGCCCTGGCCCTAGGGCAGATTTATGTAAACTCAAAGCTGACATAGAGCCACCTTCAGGCATGCTGTCTGCCTTGGGCCTCAGCAGCTAGCTCTGGAGAGCTGGGCTAAAGCGAGCGGGCAGTAAGTAGTCCACTTCCTCAGGACCTCCTTCGACCTTAGCACACTGTCCATACAGCACAGCTCCCTCCAACTTCAGCCTGGAGGTTTGGCTCCTGGTCACTTCTGGTGGGCTTCCCTTTCTGGCTTCAGCCTTCTGAGTTGCCATAGACCTCAGTAACCATCTGCTCTGGCTCCTTCTTGTCTCTGTTCTGGGCTGCCGCAGGCCTGCTCTCTGAGTGGTGCTAGGATGGGCGTGCTTACAGCGCCTTCTCCACCCTGCCCCCCCTCATCGCATTTGTGACCACCTCCTGTCTTCCCCATCAGTCTGAGATGGAGAGATCTGCTCTAAGGTTGCTGCACTCACTGTGGGGCAGGTTCCTGTGTGGTTCTATGCCTGGGAAAGGTGTGAGGTTAGACTGTAGTGACCACCTGCCCAAGCGGGAGGCAGTCTGTGCCCTCACACAGTACGTCTTCAAGGCACCTAGGGATTGATGCACCAGGAAGGACAGAGGCTGTCTCTAGCTAAGGTCACTGCAGCACCACACAGCGGTGACTTTTGAGTCACAACCTGGCAGTGACAGGTCGGATGCCCAGAGCCCAGGCCATCCCTAGCCGTTACCTCAGCAACACGGCCAAGGTGTGCCACGTTGAGACTGCAGCTTTCCCTAGCTGTGCTTCCTTTTACTGGTGGCCAGAGCGGGACCAGGAAGGAGGGTCGGTCTATGGACCAGTGAAGGCTCAAAGCCACAACATGAGGGCAAACCCAGGGTGGCTGTTCACCCTGGAGAGAGGAAGCTGAGCTGGAGCTAACCCTGCAGGTGCTGTATCCTGACACACAACACGCGTGCGTCTACCTCCAAACTCAGGGCTCCTAATGCTGCTGCACCTACAAGGAATCCTAGTTAACGTCTGAGAGTCTCTACTGAGACCCCGGGAAAGGCGGCAGGAATGTCAACAAGCAAGAGTACCGCCCGGCCTGCTGCTCTGCAGGTGGATGGCCCAGGAATGCCGCCTTAAGGCTGCTTGTGTGGAAGCAGGTGGCCTTTTCTGGTTCTCAGGGCATGGCAAGTCTTTAAAAGAAATTCTAGTGATAGGTGCTGTCTGCTCCTCACAGCACATAATCCCAGGGTGCTGGGAAGTCTGGCCACCTCCACAGTGCTTGTCTTTGGTCCTGGAGAGCCTAAGATCACTTTGGTCCTAGTGGGGAGCTTGGTCGCCAGGAAGTGGTCCTGTAGAATAGGGAGGGACCCCTGGGGACAGACATGCCTTGATAATCACCTTGTGAACAGAACAGAAACGAACCACACACTCCACCCCTCCACCCCCACAGCCTCATGCTGAGTGTACTGGACAGAGGGGTCTCCGGGTAGTGTTTTCATCTTTCCTTTCCTTCCTCATTGCAGATGGCCAACACCGATGCTGTAACCCATGAGATCGTTGGCTTTCTTGACCAGACTTTGTACAGATCAGACCATCTTTGCGTTGCAGCCTCAAGAAAACTGGCCAGAGAGCTCCTTCAGAAGCTTGGAGCTCAGGTCTAGCAGGCAGCACAGAAAGCGTGAGCACCTGTATGGCGTGCTGCCGTCTGGTGAAGGTAGTGTCTGTGGGGCCCAGAGCAAGTGAGAATGGCTGGACACATCCATGCCTTGGCCCCGTTCAGTGGCGTGTGGCTTCTCCTTCCTACGCACTCTGCACTAGTTGGCCAAGGAGGTAGAGTAAGACCCAGGTCACCTGCTAGGTTCCAGTCTTGGGTGAACCCTCATGTCCACACAGCCTTGCATGATGACAGCTAGCACTGGCTCATTTACTGGCTCCCTTTGTCCTGCCCACTCTGATGACGCTGCCAGCGATGGGGGAGATGCCCAGTAGCGGGAGGCCTGTGCCCAGCAGGGGACAAGGCTGCACCACGCAGATGAGCGCCTGCCTCCTTTGCTCCTCAGCGCAGAAATGCTACGGTGCATCAAGGGAAGGTGGACGACCAGAGAAGGGGGTCAGTACTTCCCCCAAACCCCGAGAAGGCCAAACACAAAAAGACCAAAAAAAAACCCAAAAAAACCCAAAACTGCTTTTCCTATGGCCCACATCTAGTGAAACAGGATTTGGGAACTGAAAATCAATGTCTCTCTTCTCCACTTGCTGTATGTAGACGGGATCGCTGGGTGCATCTGTTCTGTTTTCTAGCGAGAACGTATATAAGTAGGCACTGTGTGAGCAGAGAAAGCCACCGAGCTGCAGTCCTGTAGACTTGTGCAGGCCAGCTTCAGTGCTCAGAACATCCCACCTGGGGGGAGAGGACTCGATGCCTGCAGTCTCGTTAGAGGCTCTGTGGCAGAAAGCGAAGGACTCTGGCTTCTCCCTGGCATTCGTGCATCCGGGCTCTATCAGCGGCCAAGGGTGAGCTTGTTCAGTCCCTGCCCTTTAGTCACCCTGCTGCTGGGCCCACTACATTGCCAAGCTGTTCACAGGAGGGCGGGGCTGGACTTCTTACCTTGTTCATTCTAAATAAAAGTTGTACTTAATTTTATATTCAGTTATTTCCCAAAGAGAAGAAACTTTCCCCCTCCTACCTGTGGTAACTTCGGGTCTTACAAACCTTAGGCGTGGCTTGGGAAAGACCAGTTATGGCTTATCTTCAGGGCAGGCTTGGGGCTCTGTCAAAGAAGGGAGAATCGCTGGAAGGCAGATGGAGGCGTGTGTACTCAGGGTTGTGCTTCCTGTAAGCTAAACTCGATTATAACCACACTTACCTCAGACACGGTTGCTGGGTTACTTTCCATTCTCAAGAGGAAGAAGAGAGCACAGCACAGACTCTGTCCCTCGGCAGTGAGGACAGATGGAATCGTGTCCACCTTTCTCCCCGATGACTCAGTCCACCCAGCAGGCAGGGTGAACTGTGCCGAGCATCGTGAGTCAGCTTCCTGGTGGTGCTCAGTGGTCTGACGTGGCATACCCGGACACTTGACCGCAGACAAGGAGTCTCATCCGGGCTCCGGGAAGCCAGCTACCCAACCGCATTCACCTAGAGGTCTGATGTCCAGGGACAGAGGAGGCCAGGTCTACAGGGACCTGAGGAGGGCAGCTGGAACAAGTCCGATGACACAGGAGTCCTATGAAGACTCAGGCACAGAGATGCTGAGCGGTTGACAAGGCGTCTTCCAGTGCCAGAGCATCCAGAACAGCTGCAGTCAAAGGAACATGAGTACGCGCTCTCCCCTACCCCCTTCTTTCCCTCCCTTTCCAACCAGAGCATGGCACTGCTCCTCTCTGGATAGCTGACTTTAACACAAGTCCTTATGAATCACCACAAAGCCATTTCACAGCCCCTAATCCAATGTCACGACAAAACAGGCTTCTAAAAGGCAGACCCGCATTTGTTCCAACACCAGGCAAGATGAACCCTCTTCCTGAGCCTCGTTCCTCTTAACCCTTTTGGGCATACACCTCGTACACCCCGCATATGGGTGGGGCATATGTATGTGATACTGAAAGCATTGTGCCTATCTGTGGAAATGACAGTCTGTCCTCTGGTGGTCCACACAGCATGAAGTCTACAGGGGTCCACCAGGACTCTCCTTCGCAAGCAACGCAAAAGAAAACCGGGTGTATTATGTCAACAGAGCGTGGGTGTGGGCATACCTGTCCTCTACCAACCTGCAGACCTGTCAGGCGGCTCTAGCTCTGGCCCTTTGCAGGCTGCTCTGGCAAGGCCTTGTTCCTGTTCCTTTCAGACAGCCCCTGCCTCCATGCTTGTGACAGGAAGGCAGGCCCTGAGCTGACACCACAGCTGTGGCCTAGAATACAGAAAGGCTCTACAGCCAGGGAGGCCCCCATGGCTATCCCAGACCCAGGAAACAGCCCAACCGCACAGAAGGATGGGCAGAGGGAATGCTGGCAAGACTCCCTTCTCCAGTGAGGCATAACCAGTACCGTGGATTGCCATATTACGCTGTAGGGCTGTGTTAGAAGCACCCCTGCCTGCAATGATGTGAACCAACATGTCCAAGTGCCACACCTGTTAGAAGACCACAGCTATGAGCCAGTGGCTCGTCCTGAAAGACATTCTACAAAAATTAGGTCCAATAGGTGCTATTAGAGTTATGCAACCTGAGTCCAAAAAAACGTGTGGAAGAATGAACTTCCAAAAAGGGCCAGGAAGGTTCTGGAAGCAAGGTATGAGGAAAATGAAGTATTCCACACACTGCCCTGAATCCACATGCCCCACTCACGGAAGGCAGGCTTTTGGTGAGCAAGTGAATGGGTTAAATATTGAGGGTGAGGGAACTGTGCCTGCCAAGGTTGCCAGTGCCCTCCTGTGGCTCCCACCACCAGCCAGTTCTCAAGCTCCATGCCTGGACCCATAAGTTGGTTACAGCTCACCATATACTGGGCCAACACCTTCCCAAGGCTGGTGACACATGGGGTCTTCTCTCTGTTCACCACGATTCCTATCTCCTATCCCTGCCCTGTCTATTGCTCGTGTCCTGTCTTTGCAGACAGCCGCATCATGCCCTAGACCAGACCTGAATGTTTCCACTGCTGGCACACACTCCACAGTACTAGTCCCAAGGCCACCACTCTGTCTTGCCCCGTCCTGTGTTCCCTCCAGGGAATCTGATTGCTTCTGCCTCTTGTCACTCACTGCCTTGGCGTACACACCCTCATCTCCTGTACAGCTGGGGTTCAGCACCCTGCAGAGGCCCATCAGCCAGCATCCAGGAGGTTCTGGGGACTCCTCTGGGCCAAAGGAGCATTAAGGAATGCAGGTCAGCATCTACCCCCCAACCCCCCAGGCCAGGGAAGGCAGTACGCACTTTGCTGTGAGGGGGGGATGGAGGGGGTGGGAGATGCTGAAAATCTGCATTAAGTTATTTTCTGGATCTGGTAACTTTCTAAGCAGCACTTGGGACAAAACAGGAGCAGAAGCAATCTCAGGGAGGAAGGGTGTCCTTGGCTCACAATTCAGAGGGACCTGTCCATCACCACAGGTTAGGAATGCTGGTGAGGACAGCTTTCGGTTGTGGTGGTGGGAACCCGTGTGGAGGCCTCTCACAGGGTGCCAGGAAGCAGGGTACGGGCAGAAGCTGCCCTCAGGACTTGCCCTGGCTCCAGAAACCATGCCTCCCTCCATCCCAAAGGTTCCGGCAGCTGGGGATCAAGTTGTTGAAATAGATGAGCATGTAGGGGTCAGTTCCCATTCAGACAGGACACTTCCCTGCTCAGTCTGCAGTTTTCTGGGCTTTCTCTTAGAACTTGTGGTATACGGACTGGTTTTCAGGCTTTCACACAAACCTGGTCTACAGTACCTGGCCTCCCATGCTGCCTGTCCTTTTGCCTAGGGCCCCAGGTTAAAAGCTCTAAAGGTCTCTCCAGTTGTGTGAAAGGAAGGGAAAAGGAAAGGAGGGAGGGGAGATAGCCCAGAGCTCCAGCCCTGTCATCTACAGACCTACAAGCAACCCTTGTGGTGTCTCCCTCTGCTGTGTCTGAGCCAGGAAAGTGGAGGGGTATCCTATCTAGAGACGAAAGAAAGAGAGAAAGGAAGGAAGAAAGAAAGACAGATAAACAGAAGACTGGTAAAACTGGCTGTTCATGTAAACACATCCTCTGGAGTAAAAACAATAACCTGTGGGCTGGAGAGATGGCTCAGTGGTTAAGAGCATTGACTGCTCTTCCAGAGGTCCTGAGTTCAATTCGCTGCAACCACATGGTGGCTCACAGCCATCTATAATGAGATCTGGTGCCCTCTTCTGGTGTGCAAGCATACATGCATAACACTACATATAATAAATAAATAAAATCTTCAAAAAGAAAAAACCCACAATAACCTGGAAAAGCACATGACCAGGACAGCCAGGGCTACATAAACAGTGTCTCAAAAAACAAACAAATCACTTCTCTAAATTTGAAACTTCTTAGGCAAATCAGTAAGAAATGGCCTCCAAACCAAGAGACTCTGGGAAAGCACAAAACAAAGAGTACAATGGGGAAAATACAAATGGATTTTAGAGACACTGAAAAGGATACTTACCATAATGTTAAAAAATGCAGGCAAGTACAATTATACCTCCACAGTGTGCTATAGGTCTGTAGAAAGGCACTGACAGGCAGGGAGTGCAGACTTTGTGGACTTCGTGTGGCCACGTGCTGAGTTTTTGAGTGCACATGTCCTAGAAGCAGCATGGTAACTGTTACCACGTCCAGAACCCACCTGTGGATACTTACCCCAAAGAAAGTAAGGCGGACATTCAGGTGGGGTCTGCTCACCTGTGTCCGCCAACTGATGCCCAGGGTAATAAACTGTGCTGCGTACAGATGACAGAGCGTCAGCCAGCTTTACAAAAGGGATAAGGCTTTTAAGATGGCTCAGCAGGTAAAGGCACTATTATGCCTGGCAACTCGAGAATCACCCCAGGACCCTCATAAAGGTAGAAGAGACCCAAAACCACTCAGTTGTCCTCAGATCTCACGTGCACACAACGCACCCCGCCCCCAACGTCATACAAACATGCATGATAGTTATAAATACAAATTTTAACATTAAAAATGAAATTCTCACATATTACAACAGGGAAGATGTGCTAAGCTAGACCAGACAGACAGATGCAAAAGGACACTGTAAAGATTCACACGCCATCCCGAGAACAGAGAAGCTCATGCTAACAGTCTAGTGGTACCACCAGGGACTTGGGAGAGCAGGGGATGGGGTTGGTGTCTGAAGGGTACGAAAGATTCCACTGGGGAAGAGAAGGTTCGGAATACAGACAGCGGTGGTCAGGTCACACAGCGATGACACATAGCACTCAAAAACACCGGAGCGGTGAATTCTGTGCTGAGAGCATCGCACCACAGTAAAACCACTAAGATCTAAATTACAGTTCCGCCCTCCTTGTAATACACACCTGCTTTGTGTCCCCTTTCCCATGGCAAGCACACCTGGAACTCCCTCAGATGCATGCACAGAACCACCAGGGCCCTGTGGCGCAGCTGACCTTGGGGGGAAAGCCCTGGATGAGTGCTGTTACCAGGATCTCACAGGAAGTAAGCCGTCCAGGTTAGCACGTGACAGATACGGAAACAGCTGTTTCTGCCCGGTTACAGAAGCGACGAGTGACCCAAGAGGGGACGCCGACAGCAGCGCACGCGTGAACCCAGTGCGTGTCCACACTGCACGAACAACATCCAACTGCACAGTTGCCCCGTGTCCATGGATTCTTGGCCCAATGAGTCAACCAACTGCAATGGAAACTCTGAGAGAATGTGTTTACTGACCACGTTCAAACTTCCTTTTCCTTTTCACTCCCACGTAACATGGTGTACCAACTACATTTCCAGTTCACACCACCTCACGCGAAGTAGCCCAGAGATGGCTTAGGGAAGGCGTGGGGGATGCAGTCCAACGTGGGAATCCAGGTGTGGTGGTACACGTCTGTGGTCCCAACCCCAGAGAGGTGGAGGTGGAAGGGTCTGAAGGCCAAGGTGACCTCAGCTACCCAGTAAGCCTAAGAAGGGGGTGCAGTGGCTGTGTGGTCTGACAACGTGGACGTGACACAATCTTCTACACAGACGAGCGTCACAGACTCTGGAATTTGTGAAGTGCCCCAAAGCAACCCTTCAGGGCCACTACACCACAGCTGCTATGAGGCAGGATGCTCGCTGGGCCGTGGTGGAGACATCTCTATTGGGGACAAACACAGGAATGCGTGTTACTACGGTGATTGGTTGAGGTAGAGAGAGCTGTTCGGTTTTCAAAGTTTAGGCTTGTGTGCATGTTCGATCTACGGAGAAAGAAATGGGAGGGAGAAGGAAATGGAGGCAGTGAGGGAAAAAGAGGGAGGAGGAAGGAAGGAAGAAGGCTGTGGTCTCCTGTACACGAAGACAGCGCCTCGATTGACTTAGGAGGGGTTTTTGCCAAACCGTTCGGAGTGAAACGGGCCAAACGCCACCCGTGACTTTAAAGGAGACATCCGCATTCCGTGTGCCTTAGTCAGCATGGTGGCTCTTTTATTGCTCGTTTTCCCCCAGTACTTAGAGCCCAGCATCTGAATAGAGTTTTTCAGTTAAGTGCCCTCTGTAGCCGGAGCCATGCGCTCTTACATGTGTCCTGAAGACCTGGGCTCCATCTGCCACATACGTGCCCGGGATCAGCATGCACAGCCTCACCATCCTGCTCCACAAAGTGCCCCTCTCCAGGTGTGCACATAGCAAAACGGGTAAAATCAAACTACAATTCTTTATCATTAAAATCACTATTGATTTTTATAACTGGACATCAGCCACTACTCAAAGCGCCTCCCCCCCCGTTTACTGCCCCAGGGAGGCAAAACCTCACAGCTGTCTCCATCCTCAGACCACACTGCTGACTCTCCAGAGACTTCGACACTCAGAGCCTGAAGGTGGGGAAGGAGGTGAGGCTCCTTCCAGCCTTTTGAAGCCTGAAGTTCCATCCGGTTTAGAAGGCTACACTGCTCCTGCAGGCTTATTCCATCTGGAAAGTTGGCAGCAAGGGAGGGCCCACTGTAGCATAAAAGGACTTTCTGGAACCTGGGACTCTCGGCGATACACTTAAGGAATGGTTGCAGCACATCTCCACTGCCACCCCATGGACACAGCAGCAGCACACCAGATCCAAAAGGGACCTTGAGAGAAATTATAGACGAGATGATGGCAAAGGCGGCTTAAAAAAAATCAGAAGCCACCAGGCAGTGGCAGTGCACGCCTTCAATCAGAGGAAGGCAGATCTCTGTGAGTTTGAGGCCAGCCGGGCCTACAGAGCAAGTTCCAGGCTGTTACACAAAGAGACCTTGCCTTGAAAAACAACAAAACAAAACAAAGAAAAAAAAAAAGAAGAAGAAACCAGAACCCACAGGGCACACAACCACTTGACAACACAATATGGCCTGAGCTGTCATGTCCCTCGTGGACGGCCTTCCTGGAATGCCATGGAATAGACAGTCTCTGTTAGGGATCCCTGAGCCTCGCTGATTCTCTTTCCTGCCAGTGGCTAGGTAAGGTCGCTACATAGACAGAGATACTGGGTGGAACCAGGACAGGTGAGAGAGGTCCAGAACCCATCCCTGTTCAGTCCTTGGAGCTCAGAAATTAACCCCAAGCCTATTTCATCTCATAGCACTGAAATGACCAGGTCTGATTTTATGAGCTGCTTGCAGAGCAAGGGCTGGGTATCTCCAACTCAAGCCTACACACACACACACACACACACACACACACACACACACACACACACACACACACACACACACCATGCTATTCCAGGTTTCCAGACCTCCCATCAGCTGCTGAGGCCATATTCTAGTGACTATGTACCCTAGCTTCTTTTGTCTTCTGGGTTTCCTTGAAAACAAGGCATGGACACACCCAACTGACTCAACCTCCAAGGCAAGGCTGCTCTCTCCCGGTCCAGTCTTCCCACATGGGGTTACCGGGGCTTGGCTGGGATGCTGGACACACGCCAGCACCACGGGGCAAGGCTTTTAGCCGTCCACCCTGTCCTGGGAAACTTCCCCAGCTTGCACACGGCCACCTCCTTCCTTGTCACACTGTCTGATCATTGGACTGGAAGAGAACAGCGTATTAGTCCATCAATCTCTCAGACAGCACCAATGGGTGGGAAGGAAGGGGCCATAAAACCTTGCCCTGAATAGCGGGATGGCTGCTGCTTCTTCCCACCTCGTAAACCCCACAGACCAGCCAGGGCGGCTGAGTTCACTGTGGCTGGGTTGAATTCACACCCCTCCTTGAGACTGCTCTCTGCAACCTTTCTTCAGAGAAGGAGGCAGCTCCCAACCCCCAGCCCTGGGAGTCTCAGAGCTGTGATGGGGCTAGCCCACTCCAGGGGCTCTCTCTCCACTTGAGGGCTGCTACCATCTTGATGACTTCTTTCGAGTTTGGCGGCTAAGACTGAAATATTCCACAAGGGACTAGGTAACCACCAAGCTTTTGGAACCAATGCTAAGCCCCGGTGAGGTGTCTTGGCAGTAAGTACCCCCTGAACCTCGGAAATGGGTGTGGCAGCCCAACCACCCAGGGAGCGGGCCAGCCAAGGCCACAAATCCAGCATCCGTATCTGCTTGGGAGGCATGGCTATGCTCCTCCACTGGCTGGCTCCGTCTACGGCCAGCTGGACGGGAATATGAAGTCTGCACACGAACACCTCAGATCCCAAGCTTCTGAGGACTGCTTTCTGTTGCTCAGTGGGCAACAGCTGTGGCAAAGGTAACGCTGGAGACTAGAGGCCCCTATGTGTGCAACACGGCAGCCCTGCTGGCTGCTCACTGGGCGTGTGTGGCCATGCGATGCTGAACCGGGGTCAGGAGAGACGCTGGTAGGAGCTTGGCGCTTGCCTGGAACAGATCCTACAGAGCCTTCTCTTCGTGTTAAGGGAATGGCTTGAGCTTAGGCACTTCTGCTATATCTGCTTTCTACCCCGGGGGCACTCCATGACATTTCTGCTCACCATGAGCAAGGATGACTTGCTAGGGTTATAGATTATTTCATACTTTTGATGTGAAACTCCATTAAAAATAAATGCCTTTAAAATCCTCTAACACTACAGGAGCAGCTGGGACAGAGAACACAGAGCCCTTCCTGAGACTCTTTCTCAACCCCGCCCTTCCCTTCCGGTCTGAGTGCAGTCAGAATTCCCAGTACCTCTCCCTTGGCTGCTGCCCAGAGCCCCACAGACAGGGTGGTGGGAGCCACTGTGGGCAA